AACTATAAGTAGAACACACACATAATTCAAAAATCAACCCAATAATAAATAACCAAAAATCAAGCAAATGTCTCCCTCATTGAAAAGGCAAAAGTAGGATACAAAGTAATATTTAAAAAAGCACCACTAGTTATAAATGCTGCAACTTGTTAAATGTAAACTCAAAAGAATTATGGCAAGTCTTTTGAATTAAACCTGTCACAGTCGTTCAGCAAACATTATGGAACGAATATCATGATAAAGACATATGGTTAATTAATTCAGTGGCAGCAGTCAGTTAGAATAAACATAATTCATTTAGCAGAATACAGTCTTTGTCATTTTTTAAGCCGGCCTACACTGGCTCTAGTCGCTATGTGGCTAAGTCAATGCTAATGCTTCGTAATGCCGGTGTGCCAGGTTCGATCCCAGATGTGGGCCATGCGCCTTGTGTTTGTTTTGACAGTGGTATCAAGGGACCGACCGTCCAGAAAGCAATGGCAAACTACTAGACATAAATTTGCCTAGAGAAACCACACAACAGCCAGGGGCTGCTGGGGTTGGTTCTGCAATGACCTGTAAAGGATACGCAACTAGCCTGACAAACTGGCTCTACACCCCGGCGGAAAGTTCTAGTTATTCCTCCACTTCCAGACTTTGATCTTGCTCTAGAACTTAAATTTTGTGTGCACATCCGTTTTTCAGATCTGGCTTACTATATGCAGACTGCTGGTTCCTTGCCTCTCAGACATATACACTCCAACTCTAAAGTGAAAACTCCTAATAATAAGTCACCTTTTTTGACATTCTTCTTAAGGGTGTAGGGGGTTCATTCTTGTTTCCTTTGTAAATGGGGTGTGGAACCCACATAAGCAATTTCAACACTAATATCTATTTACTGATTAACTCTTTCGGCACCATGCATTGCATTATAAGCTCATGAGTTAGTCCAACTTCTGATTCTATATAAGTACTGTAAGTTTTACTCCTCCCAGTTTCCTAACCTTATTCAAGAAGCCTCGATGCCTAATCAATTACCTCAAGATCAGGGAAAAGTAAACTATCCATGTTCTTACTGTATCCAAGTACAAACAGAAAATGCAGCAAGACAAATCAGGTCGGCATTAACCCAACTAGGAATTAGTAGCCACAAAAACTGTCATTACAGCATTTATATCAATATAGTATTCGATGAGACAAGCTGTCCAGGCTTAGGAGTGAACAGACTGCTTGCTTAAAAAAAACAGGCAGTTTGGCAGTCACTCATACATATAATCGATTAAATAATTCATCATCATCATGTAGCAGGTCCTTTACAGAATGTCGCTCTCATCGCAGTCTGCCTGAAAGAAATTCAGTCTCTTGCCAGCTCTCCTGCCTCGTGTACTTTCATATTCGAGCCTATGCCCATCTTTGTGTTGGTCGGCCCCTGCCCCTCCTTCCTGGTACTATGCCTTCTGCTATTATTTTTTCCGCCATGCACTTGATATGGCCAAAATATTTCAGCTTCTGAAACAAGATACTGTTTATTAGCCAATCTCTCTTGATGTTCAGATCTTTTAAAATGTCAGAATTCCTTCTCTTCTTTGTCCGTGGTATTCTGAGAATCTTTCTATAGCATTTCAGCTCAAAAGTCCCTACTTTCTTTCTCAAGGACTTAGAGATAGTCCACGACTCACATCCGTATGTTGCTACAGGGAAGATGCATGCTCTCAAATTTTAATTTTGATTTCCTTGCTGGTGCTTAACCATAGACTTTAATAATTATTTAATTATTATAAATATTAAAATCCTGATTTAATTAAGCTAAACTTAATTAGAACATACAAAGAGAAATGAAAACAAACAAAACCAAAACTATAAACTAGCATAAGTAACAGATAAAAGGATTTTTGACCCTTTTTCTCTCAAAAGGCATAAACAACAGTGTCATGTGCCAATAAAACATGCTTAATTTCAGCAAAGTAAAATATAACTGACAAAAGTCAAATGTTAATAATTTGTAACGCATATTTTCAGCAAAATGCATAATTACTGTCACAGAATGTTCTTTGGTAAGCAAAGTAGGGTATCCCCTGTCAAGAAGTAAGGCACCTCCATTCCTATGCTAGCTTGCAATTCTTGGGATAGGTGGGGTGCCCCTTTAGGCCCACATAACCCCCCCCCCCCCCCCCACAGCCTCTCTATTGGGGTAACATGAAACTACAAAGGTAGGTGATAGAATATGGCTTGATAGCAGCCAACAGATAACTGCTATAGTCTGAGACTCTTTGGCCACATATCACAGATTAGTGTCAATGACTACAACGGACTAAACTGTAGTCACTGCAAGACAGAAAACAATGGCGAACTACCTTCTTTTTAAGTCAAGCAAATATACAGGGGGCCAGGAATGGGTTGACACGAACACCCACAACAGCAGTTTCCATCAGGTCACTATCACATTAACTCTTTGAGTCCCAGGGAACGCATCATACGTTCATAGGTTCCTACCTGGAAGCCCATTGAACACATGATGTGTCGATTTTAGTCTCTATTTACTACCCATTGGGCCTGTGATGCTAAACCCCCTGGGACTCAAAGAGTTAAGAAGAGAATGTACAGAGTGGAGTAATGGTATGGCAGAATTAGAGACACAACACCTGACAGATGAAAAGGCTGGGCTAGATGATGCAGCAGTGTACACCGATGGTTCTGATCATTTAGGGTGTAAGATCTGGCTGGGGATTTTCAGGAGGGACGTATGAGAGGAAGAGAAAAAGGTGTGTATAATCAGTGTGCTGTGGGAACAGTAAGCATCTACACCTTAAGATATTTGCAGTGGGAGATGGACCATCTATGGGTATGCCCAGTGTGCTATGATGTTGATTCTTAAATCAGTAAATATGACCCCCAAAAATAAAACATGATCAAATATTCCAGGGATCATGGGAAACAATAAATCATGACTATCTACTTTTATCAGCATGGCACATGATGATGATCAGCATGTTTTTAGAAGTACTTAAGGAGCAGGCCACCTTAGATATCTTGGTTCATGATGAAATGAAGTTTTACAAAAGCAGGGGTGTTGACCACACAAAACAATCTTTATAAGTAATAGTTCTTCAGTATTGCCATAACAATATGCATGTTAGTTAGTTGGGTTATCATCACTGCACACCAGACATGTCCATAGGTGCTCAGATCCTCCCCTCAGTATGAACCCCAGCATCCAGGGGCTAATAGCACCAGTTCTATGTTGATTAACAAGTCCTCTGATGTGCCTGGTGTGCGTCTTGTTTTTTGTTATGCCAGTCTTAACTCCCAAGTCTATCTTTCAGGCGAGTGATGTGGATTCACTGCCCCCAAAGACCTCTAACCTTCCCACTTCTCAGAGGTCATTAATAATAAATAACGGCATGATCCATAGGTTGACCATTGGTAGTTATAGCGGATCCAGCCAACATATCAGCTCTTTCATTTCCATCGACACCCGCCGTTCCCAGGATGAAAATAAAGGTGACTTCAAGCACAGTGAACTTCTGTAATGATTCAAGCCATTGCCTTCGCACCGAACAAGCCTGAACCCTCCAGATCATACCCGTTGAATGACAAGATGCAAATTCTTCTCCATCTGCTGAACTAGCTCAAAAGCTTAAATGTTAATCATTTATGTTACAAAATGGTCAACAGCTACCTATACTCAAATTTATGAAAGATCTATGCTCTCATTAGTTCAACTTTTGCTAATATGCTGAGGTCCCATCATAGGTTCTTCATACTGTTTAAATATACACATCATGAAAAACATAATATCTAAAGATAAGAAGCAGACACACTCAGCAAGCAGTTTGAGTCTGTAACAACTCTGTAAAAATAAAACCGATTCAACAAAACAAAATGGCATCATCAAATATGGAATGATGAGAACAATGCAAGGATGAGAAGCTTCCCGATAGCTTTATGGTTGTAACAGAAAGTCTGCTGGTCCGAAAAGAAATCATGATGCATAGAAAAATCAATTTAAATGTCTTGAAAATCAATTCTCTTTTTGCTAAACATTCATAAAAAGTCCTGATGACAAATGATAAGTTAATTCAAACATTAAATAATGTTTCAGCTTTGAAAAGAATAAAAAAGCAACAAATCCTGAGATTTATTAAGTTTCGTTGTTTAGTCCATGTAATGTTAGAGCAGATGATTTGTTCATGTTACTTAAATATAATTGTGGTAAATTCCACAGAAAGTGGCTTATGTTGTTTACACAAAAGAGGCTTATGTTTGTATTTACAGAGGCTTATACTGGTGTTTTTAAAAATGGAGATGAAACACAACCAAGTTTTAGTGTTCATAAAACAATTAATTTGATTTGTATAATTCTTTTTAACTAGTTTTTAGGACGGCATATGTTTCTTTTAAAATTAAATATCAAAGGTATTAGTTTTAGTCTTATTTAAAACATTCTGTGAGTCTTTCAATTCATCTGTACTAAATGTGACAGCCAGAAGTAAGTAAGTAAGTTGTACCCCACCAGAACATCACACAAAGCGATAAACACCCAGTGACACAAAGTGCCACCATGCGGATGAGGATCACCCATAGAGAGGTCCCAGAAACCTCGTTCAGCCGTTAGGCCACATTCATTGCCCGGCTACATTTAGGGCCCCTGGCAAAAGCCAGGGTGGGGCTTCAAAAAATGAAGAATTGAATCCCACGTGGGGACTACTAATCTGAAATTTACCTTTATAAGCACTATATTGCCCAGCCCATCCATTTAAAAAATAAAAATAAATCACTTACTATCATAATACAAGCTTCATGTGTGATGTAAGATTCACATATCATCACAAACAAGACTGTATACATGTTATGTAACTGATAACAAACTATATAATAGAAAGAACAATTGTTTTTGAAATAAATTATTTTAAGAACATCTAGAACACCAAAACAATACACGTGGATTCCCTTGGGTGCAGGAAAATGTGCAAGTTGTAGATACTGTACTCGGCCGTGTGTGTGCCTAGCAGTGAAAGTGTTTAACTGGCTATAAGGTCTGCCTGATTTTCTGCGCTTGCATAACTGAATAAAAGGAAAATGTGATGGTTATTTCAACTCACTCTGACCCAAGTTACATAACATGTGTCCATAAATATGTCTCCCCAAAAATAAAACAGGGTCTCATATTAATTTTTGCTTCAAACAATTCACTTAATCAGCGGTTCTCAATCTATTTGGGGGGTCAAACAACCTTTTTACAGGGGTCATAAAACCATCGGAAAAGAAATGTTCAGTGAAGTTATTAAGTAGCAACAGAAGAAATAATTTTATGGTTGGGAGTCACCACAACATAAGAACTGTATTAAAGGGTCATGGCATTAGGAGGGTTGAGACATACTGCACTTAGGCTTGTTTTTGGGGGCAGAATTTTTTTTTTCTGATTCAAAAATCAACATTTATTCATATACAAGATTCTACATTTATTCAGAAATAGTCATGTCATCTTCTGAAACATCATCACAGCTCTCTAAATCCAGGCCTAATTTCTTTCAAATTATGAATCACATCTGTTCATTATCAGCGGCGTCAGTGGCTCAGGCACTGTGAGTCCGACTCGTAATTCCAACATACCGTGAGCGAAATCCACTACTGGCTGGGTGGATTTTTATCATGGTGTGGGGCGTCGCAGGTCGATCAAGCCTTAAATGGATACCAGAATGGATGTCCTGGGGAAGTATAGATGGCCGGCGTAATGCTGACCACATTACCCACCTAGTGCCGATTCTTCAGTAAAAATATGGGTTCTCTTCCCATATGCCCAATGTGCCTAAGGCGTAAAAAGGGATCTTTACTTATGTGTTCATTATCAAGTGTGCACCAGTGGTGTCTGTACTCTGACAGGGCATTCAGTGACATGTCTCTCATTCTAGCTGTTGATCTTACCTAGGGCATGCATTTTTGAAAAGGCTTATGTAAAAAAAAATTGTGTTTGATTTTGGCAGGTAGGTATTATTTTCTGGAAACACAGTAGTTCCTTCAGCCAAGATAAACATTTCTCAACTTTTTGTCCCAGTCATCATCTTCATCATTTTATACTGTTATACATTATATAGGATTCGCTGTTTATTGGCTGGCAAATGAGTCAAATCTGTCAAACAGATGCACACGCAACACTCAAGTTCTGGAACAGGACTGCAGTCCAGAAGTGGACAAACAACTAGAACCTCCCCCACCAGAGTTTACAGCTGGTGAACACAAAGAAGAAGAAGAAGAAGAAGAAGCTGTTTATTTTTCCCACTCTGCTCTATCTCTTGCAGTTGTTTCAATACCATCAATGGAATTGGAACCAGCACCTTTTGCAGCTCTCACCAACGTTCATCTTAGTGTTTACTTTGTGCGTCCTCATTTCTTCAATTAATTTGTTTCATATTTTGGTTTCCCTGCTTGGTGATTCTCTTTTTTGCGTCTTCTCAGGATGTGCCCAATATACCACAACTTTCTTATAGATGTTGATGTCAGCAGTTGTCCAGACATTTCTTTTATTTCTTTCCCTTTTGTATAACTGATTCTATTTTTTCAGTTGTCCCAGTCAGTTGACAGATGAACCCAGTAAAAATGATCATGTCTTAACAGCCGTTTCTTAACTACTTATGTCTTAATCAGTTAACAGAGTAAACCTAGGAACATATGTGTTTATTTTACTTCATTCATGATAAACATGTCTTAATAGAAGACACACCAGTTGATTGATTAATCCAGTAATGCACCATGTGTTTATTGGTTGTGTATGTACAAACATGGCCTCAGAGCATTGTTTCTGCCACCTCGCAATGCCACCTGCATGTTAATTTTGGACACTAAGTCTTCATACACCATGTCTATGACAGAGCTGTGCCTTAGATTCTCTAGACTGTTGCGGCGACTTGCTTTTCTATTGTCTTTATCCATTTGGACCAAATACTGCCTAAAAACTGTTGTCCTTTTTTTTCTTGTCACTTGTTAGTATTCTACCTCCTGAATCATGAATGTTTGCCATTTGTCGGATAGTACTTTTTTTATGCATTTGCAGTGCAAATTCCACAATTTTTGTAGCTTCTTGAGGCAAAAGGGCTAAGACGACAATTAACTTCGTATCACCATACCACTCTACCCCCCATTTTCAATAAGGGATAGATATTACAAATGATCTAAGGCAGTTCTTTAAGAAAGGCTGGGAAATAAGAGAAATGTTTGGATAACTGCTGGTATCAACAAACATAAAACAAAGACGATGCTGATAAACTGGGCATTTCCTTAGCAGTCAGAGAGAAAATTGCCAAACAGGCAATTAAAAAGGAAACCAGTGGACTTACAAAACGAGGACACCCAAAAGAAACACTAGGATGAATGTTGAGGAGAGGGGTCAAAAGTGCTGAACTAGATTCTATCCATGATACTGAAAGAACTGCACAGGATACAGCAAAATGGAGGAAGTGACTTTAAGCCCTAAGTGACATCTAAACAGCAAAACAGGATGAAGATGATGTGGCAGTTCTAAAATGCTGGATCTGAATTTAATCAATACTTACAGGATGCAGAATTACTAATAAAAAAATTTTTTTTTAAATTTAGTAACTGGTGCCTGGGCAGAAAAGAGGGAATTGAATGGTATGATGGAATCACTGCTGTGAATGGAAGAGAACTAGTTCCAGTGGACCAAGAGGTAAAGAAAAGATGCTGGTGCTGGATAGGACACACGCTGAGAAAACCTGAGAACAATATAACTAGAGTGCCTTTGCACTGGAACCCACAGGAGCACAAAAATAAAGGAAGAAAAAAAAACATGGAGAAGGCATCCACAGAGTGAAGTTAAAAATATCGGGAGGACATGGGGAGAGCTGCATCAACAGCGAAGGATTCAACAACTTGGTTTGAGTCGGTGGAGGGTATATGCTGTACTAGGGGGTTAGAAAGGCAGAAGAAAAATAAGATAGGATGCAGAGGTGCTGAACCACATGTGGGGGCACACCAGGGCAGGCATTATAGTGGTCAAGACCTATCTACACTTCTCCGTGGTCATTTTAGAAAAAGTTCCCTACCAGGGGTCTGGCCAACATAGACAGGATCAATGTTTCCTTAAAAATCAGTTAAAATAGCAACTTCTGTGATGACTGGAGCTTCCCTTTCATCTCTGCATGCCTGTCTATTCCAAGCAGTGCAACAATTGACAATAGTAACTCTCCATTTTGTTATCCTGCTATTATTACTACTGCTGCTGCTTTTACTATTACCGCCACCACCACAGATTAACCTCGCCCTAATATGGGACGCAGTTTTGTTTGGTGTTATTTTTAAGCCGCACCCCGGCTGTAGTCAGGGACCCTAATACAGGTATAACCTAACAGTTGAACAGGGTTTCTAGGACTTGTAACCCAGGTGATTCTCATCAGATTGGTGGCATAAAGTACCACCAGGTGTTTATCGCTTGTTGTGCGGTCCTGGTGGGATTGAACGCCACTCACTCACTTCAAAGTCAGAGTGCATCTGCTCTGAGAGGCAAGGAACAAAGTCTGCATGCAAATAAGCCAGATTCGTAAAATGGATGTGCTGTAAAACTCCTGGAGCAAAACCAAAGTCCACTAGTAGATGTACAACCAGGACTTTCCACTGAAGTTTACAGCCGTGAGCGTGAAGAAGCAGAAGAAGCAGAAAAAGAAGGAGAAGAATAAGAAGAAGAAGAAAAAGAAGAAAAATCATGACTTACTTTAATTCTCCTTGCTTAGAATTATCCACATGTGGATTTAACTGTGTGGCATCAGTGGCTTCCCTTTGTGGAGACAATGCTGGTGGTGTAGGCAGAGTAGGTGACGTTGTGGAAGCAGACGCCTGGCTAACCAGTTCGGCTTTCACCTGCCCTGCGGTCTTGCTGGACTGCCTCTGTAATTCAGGGGGCTCCACATCCTCCTTGTTGGTGCTCTTCAAGATGCTTAGGCCGCTGCTTTGGATCTGGTCCTTGGCCGATCTAAGAGCTGGTGTTGTGGAGCCATCCTCCTGGATTTGCATGTGATACTTGTATGTGTCGGTTGTTGGAATGATCTTCCCTAGAGCAACAGAAAATATATATCTAAAAAAAAATATTACCTGTATATTCTTTTTAAGACTCTGCAAACCAACCTTTCATGTACTGACTACTGTCCCTTTGTGGATTCTAGGGCTACTTTGTGGGGAAGAGGTGAGGGGTATGGATAGATCCACCCACCCACCCCATTTTTATTTTACAAGCATATTGTAAAAGTTGACTAATTAGGTGTTTTCTTTGGAGCTGGAGTGCATCTGCCTGAAAGGCAAGGAACCAACAGTCTGCATACCAGTAAGCCAGATGTACACACAAAACTCAGGTTCTTGAACAAGACTTGCCCAGAAGTGGATGAACAATCAGAACTTTATTGACCAGAAGTGGATGAACAATCAGAACTTTATTGACCAGAAGTGGATGAACAATCAGAACTTTACTGACCAGAAGTGGATGAACAATCAGAACTTTATTGACCAGAAGTGGATGAACAATCAGAACTTTATTGGCCAGAAGTGGATGAACAATCAGAACTTTATGCTGGAGTCTACAGCTGGTGAATTCCAAGAAGAAGTACTGGCTACTGTGCAGTTTACCAGGGAATACTATGTCAGTAGTCTGCTACTGTTTTCTATAAAGTATAATGTTCACACCACTATCAAAACCAATGCAAATCAGCCTGATAAATGTGTTACGTCTAGATAAATTGACAAAAGAAAACCATCTCATCTTGACCCCTTACAAATAGTTAGTTAATCAAAAATTAATCTCACTTTACATCAAGTCAATCAACCTATAAGTGCTGAGATCTCCTCCTCAGTTAATCCCGCAGCAGCTGATGATGCCAGTTCTGTGTTGGTTTAGTATTCTTCTTTGGTTTCTTGCATAGAGCTCACCTGGCCTCTTCCCTTTTCACTTGCTGGTGGTTAATGACTAAAAGTTATCACTCAACTGTCACGAATTTTTTACTTCTCGTACAGCATTCAGTATACAGGCCTGGTCCACTGCTCGTCCAAGCTCCGAATTAGACTTAACTGCAAGCCTATCAGCTTGTTCATTTCCTTACACACCTGCATACCCTAGCACGAAAATGATCTTTGTCAGCATGACCACCTTTGAGACTCCAAACAGACTCCTGTCTACAGGCCCTGTCCATCTTTATTTCTTAAGCATACTCACAGAGTTAATGATCAGATTTGTTGGTATGAAGTATAAACTGCAGGAGACTAAAGGGGGTTCCTAGGGACTCTCTTATTTCATCTGTATACAAATTAATTAGCTATACATGTGACAGCAAATTGCGAACAGGCACGATGGACAATGCTGCAGGACATAGACTTTAAAATGAAAATAATTTAAAATAGCAGATGTCAGACTACAGCAAGCTTCAAATAGTCGCATCTATAGTGGCCTCACTAGTGGCAGGGGCAAGCTAGAACTGGTTCTCCCAGTGACTTTGTGAAAGGGGATGATATGAAGTTAAATATATGAACCTGTAAATTTCAAACTGGTTCACACTGTGGATTGAGCAATGGAGAAGACAAACCACTAAAAAAACAAGGAAAAAAAAAATATTCTAGCTTTCAGAAACAAAACATACATAGTTCTGATGACCACATTACCGCCCATTTGGTGTGGATCAGTCTAAAAATAGTGATCCATATAAACTCTTAATTTTTTATTTTTTACTTAGTATTTATATTATGCATATTTCTAAATTAACTTAACATACATTAATCATAAAATACAGTTGTTGTGTGAGAGATGAGTGGCTGAAATTGCCAAATGTGTGCCCTATTTTTTTGGCCCTATGAAAATAAAGTTTGTTCGTTCCTACCCACGGCATGAAATGCATGAAAAATGTAGATTCCTTTTATAACTGTTCAGACAGATGCCTGAGGTAACAGACACAAGTGGTAATATGACGCTGATTGTAAATTTTGTTAGGTAAATGCGGCTACATATATTTCTATAGACCAACTACAAGTTGGTAGAGGATATGGTCAAGATCAGGCCAGCTGTCTGGATCTTCCAGGTCTTGACCTCCCTGGATATCACCTGGTACACATTTTAGGTTGGGTCAACCTAGAAGCCAAGGTCAGTTTTGAAAAAGACCTGCCTTAATGTAGATTTCAGCCATAGACCTGTGGGCAGATTTCTAGCTACCATGGCCCTCAGCTATGGTAAAGAATATGAGAAAATGAAGGGTAATATGGTTCCAGAGTTCTTACTGTAAATAATGACAGATGTTTTATTATTTACCTCAGAATAACATGAACTGACTAGTTGCTGACTGTATAGATAACATCCACAGGCAGACACTTACCAGAAGTCAGGTTGAATGTTCTCCCCTTGATCTGATCCTTCACTGGTGAGAACCAGTTTAGAAGGGAGCTAACCACAGGTACTTGGCGCAGAATACCCTACAAAACAGAAATGACTTAATTAAATACAACTTTGAAACTGTATGCTAATATAGTTACATATAGTCTTTTTATAAACAATTGAGAACGGTCTTATGACGAATCTTTGGACTCATTACAGATTAAGATACTGGGGAATGGAAAATGAAAAGCAATGATAAAATTCATGATCTATTTAAACGTTTTGCCCAGAGAAAGCCCACTTTCCTACTTTGACTGTTTCTTTACGACAAAACTTCTTTGGGCTGTACCAAATACAGAAGGACAGGTGTTTCGCCGGAACCATCTGAAGCTGAAGCACATCCCCAAGCCCAAAATAAGGGTGTGTGTTCTGGGTGATCAGGTGCACTGTGACCAGGCTAAGGCTAACGACCTGCCCCACATGGACATTGAGGCCCTGAAGAAACTCAACAAGGACAAGAAGCTGGTGAAAAAGCTTGCCAAGAGGTACGATGCTTTCCTGGCCTCTGAGTCTTTGATCTGTCAGATCCCAAGAGTTCTGGGGCCGGGTCTCAACAAGGCTGGAAAGTTTCCTGCACCCATTACCCACACTGATGTGCTGAATGTTAAAGTGGAGGAGACCAAGTTCCAGATGAAGAAGGTGCTGTGTCTGGCTGTCTGGTTTGGACATGTCAACATGACCTCCGAGGAGCTGTACCAGAACATCACCCTGGCCATCAACTTTTTGGTCTCTCTGTTGAAGAAGAACTGGCAGAACGTCCGGGCTCTCTACATCAAGAGCACAATGGGCCCCGCTGAGAAAATATTCTAATGATTCTAATTCAATAAACTGACCTTTGATGGAAGAAAAAAAACCACATATATAACAGCTCTGGTAATGGATGCAGCTGCACAGTGTGAAGATATGGTGGGTATGACTATATTTAAAAAAACAACACTGAGATATTTTGTAAATACAAGAAGCTTTTTTTTTTAACAACACTGTGATATCACAGTAACCTTATAATGATGTCACTATGCTCCACATGGCTATATGAACAAAAAAGACTTTTTTTTTTGGCCTTAAGGAAGGCAGTTAATTCTTTCCTCTATTCGGTTTTAGTGACTACTTCCCTTCATAAAAAAATTTCCGGGATTGGCTGTGTTGGCTTGCCAAGCAGACTCAGATTCTGCAATCTCAGAGTGGTCAGACTTGCAGGTACCAGTCCGGAGAAAAGAAGAAGCATATAGAGATAATGGCAGAAAACAGAGTGATTAAAAAATGCATAAAGAAGGACCACAAGATAGTCTGAGAAGATGGAGGAGAGATCATATTCAGGCACACTTACAAACACTTGAATTCATCAACTAGAAAGCGAAGGCCAATCATTGAAGAAGAGAATAATCAAATCAATCGGAAAGCCATCAAACCCAGCAAAAGACGATTGGCCTTTAATGTACAGACCAGAGCGAGTCATTATTCTACGCCTCAGAAAAAGACATAGTTAACTTGGCAGCCACATGTACACGTGGATTAGCACCTGAGACAACAGTTCACGTCCTCCATGACTGTCCCAAATACAACATATCAAGCAAAACTTTTGGCCAAGAGAAACACTAGTGCAAGCCAAACTTTACAGGTCACTGACTGAATTACAACAGACAGTGAAAGACGACATTGTATATATAGATAATCTATTTCAAGTGAACGAAAAAAGAAACAGAGATGATTGGAGGTGGCTAATATCTGCAGCAATACACCTCAAGAGATCTACAGTCTCAAAATAGGCTGCGCCACATCACTGAGAGCGGTCAAAGATTTAAAGAAATGGTGAATCAATTTACAGCAGGATAATAACAAGAAAGAGCTCGTGGTTGAGCCACTGAAGCTACTAGCCACTTGGCAGCTTCCTTACATTGTCTTCCTGTATGGGCTTCCATGGTCCCATTTTGAAGGGTTGGGGGTGGGACAGACCCAATGCCTTTCAACAAGCATGTCATGAAAGGCCCTAATTAAAGATTTGCTAAAATCAGCTTTGCTAGGTCCAAAAGGTGCAGAGTTTACAGTCTAGATGTAAACCAAGATGCAAAGTGCAAACAACTATTTTAAAAATATATCCTGCACAAGTCGCATTAAAAAAAGTTGAAGCCAAGGTTACTAAATTATGTGCATTTGTTGTAGAGCTTTTCACTAGAAGACTGCCTTGTGCTTTCTGCTGCCTTTTCATCAAAGAACATTGTATGCAACCCCTTTTAAACCAGGTCAACTCAGTTCAATTTGAACATCTTCACATGAGATTCAAACATATGATCGACTGGTAATCACCTTGGCTGTTACATTACTTTTGCAAGGGTGCAAAAGTTTTGGAACCACTAATTTAGATGATAGTAGACAAAGAAGAAAGCACATAAAAAGGTTTTAAAACTTGCAAGAGAGACAGGAGATAACTGCTGTTAACCCTTTCGCTGTTAATGGACGAATTCTACTGTTTGCCTGCAGACTGCTAGGCACGCCTTTCAACGTTATCCGGTTTCTTGGCCTTCACTGCCAAGGGCATAAAAACATGTTTTCAACTTTCCTTACAGAAATCTGAGGACTGTATTCTTGGAAGTCAAAAGGCAATACACATCAGCCATTTTCAGATCAAACACAGTTCACAGACCATGCTTCTATGGTAAACAAAGCATTTAGGTGTATTTAGATGGGTTCTGTGTTATCCTGTTGCTTTGTGTACCATAGAAGCGTGGTCCGTGAATTGTGTAGCTTTTTTTTGCCCTGAATTTTGTTTTTATTGTAAATTTTCACTTTTTAGTTCTTGGTACTTTCAACAATGGGCGGCACAGGCATTTTTTTTTAAGTAGTAAAATGGTGACTACAATTAATTACAATTTAAGTTGGAGTTAAGGTAGATTCATCAATTAAATTTTGGGGTGGGGACTGCCAACAGCCGAATTGTAACCCTAAGTTACAGCCCAGGGTGGACTGCTATGTCCCTCATAGAGCAGTTCTTCCCATTAACACCAAATACCCCCCACCTTGGTGAGGGGCCGTAGCTTTGTTGGTCAAGTCTGTATGATGGTGGAACAGGTCAGGTGACGGTAAAAGCCTCAGGTGCTCTTAGGGGCAATGACTAAATATACGTCACAGTGAAGACAATGATGCAGTAGAGAATGGGAGAATAAAAATGGTCTTGTACCATCCTCCTGTAAAGAAGGTAAAGGGTGGAACATCAAAAGAATATTCCTGCTGATGATTGGAAAGCTACGCTTATGAGCTCGCTCCTCTGTGGAATTTCTACTACATTTACAAAGCGGTGGAGTAACAATGAAGTAGACTTAGTAGAGGATATATTTTCTTTCGCTATCCTTAGTGAAGCCAGGCAATTAAATATAGTTTCTAGTGGTTCTTCTTCTTCTTCTTCTCTTCCACCTTGTACGTCATTGAAGTGTCGAGGGGAGATGTAACGTTTGTTGATGAGCTCTGTCAAGAGCACTTTTAGGACTGATGTTCATTTCTGTGGGGCTGTTCTTAATGCTATCACTCCATCTTTTCCGAGGTCTTCCACTCGCTCTATACCCGTTGTAACGTTTTAGTGTGGCTCACTGTGGCAGATAGTACCAGGACATTCTTGTTAGGTGTCCAAACCACTTCATTTGTTGTTCTTTGATGACCTGTAAGACTGGCTTTATTCCTAGCATTCGTCTGATTTCGTATTATGTCTTTCCTTGAAACACCTGCAGCTCTTCTAAGGCATTACATTTCTGTTATCACAATTTTACGTTCATTGGAGGATGTATGTGTCCACATCTGGCATTGATAGCATAGTGTTGGCCAAAAAATAATTCTGATAAGATTCACTTTAGTACTCCGAGGTGTCTGCTTGTGTGTCAACAGGGGAGATAGTTACCCCATTACTTGATTAGCTTTGGCACATCTAGAGCTAATTTCTCTGTCGAGTTTTACGTTGGATGTGAAAATTTGCTCCCAAATACTTAAATTCCTCTGTTTGTCTCAGGGTGTTGTTTTTTAATTTTATTTCTAAATTGTCTTCCTATCATCATTGTCTCTGTCTTCGTAGTGTTTATTTTCATATTATATTCCTCCCCTTTGTTACTAATTTGATTTAGGTGGCTCTGTAGGCATTCCATATTTTCTGCTACGAGTAGTGGTTCTAGTGGTTACTTTCTGTACAGGCGAAGTTTCTCGAGTGGCCATAGTGCATCTGACTTGTCAACACTTGGTTCAATCATCCATCTCCCTTGGGTGAATATTTTTAGGTGTAAAAAATATAGCTGCCACCACCGACGCATCTTTTGCACCTGGAGGGTAGAAAAGTATTCAGCACAGGAGAGATGATTAGCGGGTAACTTGCTTAGCATAGTGGTGATGATGGCTGTGGAGTATGTAGCAGCGAAAGGGTAAATAGATGGATAACTTACCTCATTCATCAGTTTTTCAGTGTTCTCTTTTTCTAGCTCCTTGCTAGCTTCCTCAATTCCTCTCCTGATCATCTCTGACATAGATTCTAGAAACTGCAGAGATGAATGTCTGGTTTTAAATCACCAATAATGCCATGTTACAGTAACATTTTTCTTTAATCTGGTTTATATGGTCATGTTTTTGTTACAATTTAGCCTGTTTTAATAAGCTGTTATTATGTTTGAAATTGTTATATCTACATCTGCTTTCCTACCTTCAGTGTGACTTATACATTAGTTTGAATTCTTTTGTACAACCTGTTATTAAAAATGTTGACTTTAGGCTGGGCAGACATGGAAATGATAAAAGGTCTGCATCAACGTTAATATGAACCCAGGTCATTTGGGTAGAGTGGCAAGCATCCAGCGAATGTGCTACAGTGGCCTCTGGTCAGTAGCCTCTTACAATAAACTTATCAATTTACAGTGTCACTTTCCAGCTTTTTTTTTTTTTAATGAATGTGTTTAGAAAAAGAAAAGAGGAATATGTGGGAACAGAAAAGCTAGAGAGGAAGAAAGTCAGGGAGAATGAGTATAACATCATGGTATGGAAGGACGTCTGTATAAAAATTGATTGGCAGTACACATGACAGAAGGCTGTGGACAATATGATGACCAGTGCCACATGGATGAACTCTGAGAAGAAGAAGAAGACTGTAACACTGATAAAAGTCCTAGGAAGTACAGACAGCCAGCTTACCAAATCCTCTCCCATCGACTTCTGATTGGTCTATGAAAATCCACAAGTGGGTTCTGGGGCCTTACTGTGTAGGGGAGAAAAAAAGAAAAGAAGCACTGCCCACTAACAAGCATGTCGTAAGAATCGACTAGTTAGGGATGTTTATTTTGAAGTTGGAATGCATCTGTCTGAGAGGCGAGGAGCTGCCAGTCTTGCATACAATTAGGCCACATCGGTAAAACATATATGAGTATGTAAATTAGTGTTCAGGAACAAAACCTAATTCCAGAAGTAGATGAACAAACAGAACTTTATGTCAGAATTTACAGCCAGTGAATGTTAAAAAGATGAAGACCTATAAAAATACGAGTCTAGCATCATATGCACAAGGCCACACTGGTGTAAAAGGGGTCTTTTACTTGTAAAGTAAAGTAAAGGACACTTTTCCACGCCTTTAGGCGTATAGGGCATATAGGGCTAGACCTATATTTTGCAGACCAATCGGCACAAGACGGGTGATGTGGTCAGCATAACACCGGCTGCCTTTACTTCCCGGGACTGCACCAGGTACCCACTCAAAGCTGGGTCGACCTGGCAGCCAAGGTCATTTTTTTAAAAGTCGGGCTCCGCTAGGGAGCGAACCCACGACCTTCTCCGATCCGCGGCGAGCGTTTAGCCATTCGCCGCAGCAACTTCCCCTTTACTAATATATATATATATATATATATATATATATATACTTTATTTAACATTTTTGTTTCACTGACAAAAAAGTACCTTAGAACTCTCCTCCACTTCCTTGCCACTGCTGCACACAAGGGAGACCAGCTCATCAATATCTGTCTCCGATGTGATCAGGCCAAACCTCACACAAATAATACCATCACTCGACTGACCTGGTGCAGATACGCACAAATAAACATTATTATTAGACACCTCAAACACTTACAACTACAAGGTAGGATTTACACCGCAGGTATACTATCATGACACAACCATCAGGTGTGACTTGAATAACACATCTTTATCACACAATTATAAATGTGTGTCATTCACACCTCGAAACCTCAAATCACACACACACACACACACACGCATGCACACACACATACACACAAAAAGGTGAAACTGTACTGATCCAGTATCATAGACACACACAACTACACAACTTTACAAATCTGGTGTGACTTTACAGATCTGGTGTGGCTTTACAGATCTGGTGTGACTTTACAGATCTGGTGTGACTTTACAGATCTGGCGTGACTTTACAGATCCAGTATTTTTTACACAATTAAAATGTAAAACCTAAAAGATCCGGCATCAAACATACACACACACACACACAACCACAAGATGTGACTAAACAGATCCAGTATTGTGTGCACACAAGCATGCATGCACACATACATACACACAGATAACTACAAGATGTTACTTAGAACTAACCTGTGGAGAATGCTGTGTCCTGTGCTTTGAGCCTATGAACCAGCTCTGCATTCAGATTGTTGATTTCAATCTTCTCTTTGTCCGTGAAGTCTCCTTGGTTGTTAACATACATTTCAGGAATATAGCTGCAGACAAGAAGTTACAAAGTATAATAAAATGTACATTACCAAGCCTTAAAGTATCATCATCAAGTGCCTTGCCAACTGGCGTGTGCCATCATGCCTCTCTACAATCTGCGATCGCCAACAGCATGTATCAGTTCATGTGCTGATACCCCTCTACTTCATGACAAACGGCTGTTAAGACATTGTCTGCCTCTCCACATATCCTTCCAGTGGTAATAACATGTTCCAGTTTCCCTTTTATTATATGATCAAAAAGTGATGGACTGTCCCTTTCTGATGCTTATGATAAGTTGACTTCTTGAAGTGTAACTACAGAAAAGTTACAAAGTAAAAAAGTGTTTACAGGAAGCAGCAGTGGTATAGTGGCTAGATGCTTGCATGCCTATCCAAAAGCCTTGATCTTCAAACAGCTTCAAGTTTAAAAAAAAAAACTGATTTGGCTTCCAGTCTCAAATGAGTACTAGGTAATGTCCTGGGAAGTAAAAGTTGGCATGATGATGGCCCACTGAGTTCCAGCTGATCACTATATATATGTATATGTCTAGCATCATATGTTGGATGTGTCAGGCATAAAAAGGATGCTTTACTTTTTACTTTGGTAACAAGTATTCACAAACAAAACTTTGAAGTGTTAAATGCAAATAGAAAGTTACAGAGTAACCCATGCACATAAAGAAAGCTGAAGTGCATCTGCAAAAGAAAAACAAAACATTTATAAGGTACACAATAAGCCTTGAAGTGTAACTAGGAGTGGTTACAAAGTAAAACATGTATACAAATATGATGCCTAAAAGCCCAAAGCAGATATTAAAAGAAGAAGAAGGCATACATACCAGGGTTTAAATTTCGACATTGTCACAAACAATTAAATACATTGGCTCTGGAGAGACTGAGAATTCAAAAACAGAGAGAGAGAGAGAAGTATAAATTATAATACTCTGGTATGAATTCAGGACTAGTAAAGAATGAAGAAATATGTCTGAACAGTCACTAGCAGCAACAGTTAAAAGAAGATGACAATATACTGGGCCCATCATGAGGTGAAGCAGGCAGAGAATCACTAAACAAGCAGTGAAATAGGAAAAGGACAGAAGAAACAAAAATGTCCAAGATATATCCTAACAGACATGTCTAAAGAAGACACATTGTGGGGGTGGGGGAGGGGGGGGGGGTGTGCCTAGTTGGTTATGCATCTTAGTAAACCTATTTCTACAGTGAGGCGATGTAGTCATTTGAGGTGGCATGTTCCAACTCCTGGCAATAGACACTATAGCTTTTGATGTTTATGTAGCCAAGTGTGTCTTATCTTTCTACTTCTTTTTATGCGAAGCCAATCAATACATGCTTGTTTGTTCGTCTAAGAGATATCCTAAAACAAACATGGATTCCACCTATGATATTGACAGAGTGCATAGGATAGAGCAGAATGGAAGACTAGACAAGCCCTAAGTGAAGTATAATGGCACAACAGGGTGATGATATTTGTAAAGAAGTCACTTTCCTCCTATCAAGAAGATGTTTCTATAAAGAAGTGTCTCCTTTTATTTTCCTGGGTCTTTCTCTCTCATACTTGCTTCCACTCATACTTATTCGACCCAGATCATTGTCTAGGGGTCACTAATGTAGAATAGATGAGGGCACTGTTCGGAGCCGAGGCAAATTTTTTGCTTCTGCTGGAGCGTGGCCGATGCATTTTTGCTCTATTTTGTAGACTGGATATAGTTTAGTCGCCCAGCTTTTGAGTTGAATGCGTGGCGTGACACTGTGAGCTGCGGATTTCATTTGGAATGTTATTTCGACTGTGACCAATGTGGTGGTGTGAATTGTAGATTCAGAAAATGGTGCGATATGTTGGTGGTGCCGGTATGTGATTAAAATTGATCGCGTAAGCAACTGCTGATCTGTTGGTGACTTCTGCTACCATCAATGATGAACTGCATTTCTAATGTCGGACTGTTTGTGTTAGCACTTGGCTACCATATGCTTTAATGCGTGTGTATGCTAGATATGCTGAGACAGCAGTCTGTTAATTTTTCCACAAGGAACTGTGATAAACATTCTGTGTGTTTTTCATTGGCACTGGAGCGGAGCAAAGATGGGGTGACCCGTTTGCTGAAGCTGAAACTAAGACTACCAGATGAGGAAGACTATATTTCATCAACGATCACATTATTCCAAATGATAGTAGACGATGGCGATGACCAGTTCCAGGTTTATTCTATTCACTAAACAACAAGAATCAATATGACAATCTGACTTGCGCTCTCCAGTCAAGAATAAGTTGATCTCATGTTTGGGTGCACAGCCACGCCATATTGACCCTGACCTACATACAGTCAGTACCAGCCACAGTTAATCGGACAATGCCATTATTCAATGTAGATTTACCACAGGTACTTCGCAGCTATACAGAAATCAAGTTCCACTTCATTTCAAGTCGAACACACTTTCATTCTGAACACTCTAAATCCATTCAAACTCTTTGGGGCCCAGTTGAAGACTGCCCACCCTATCTGCAATCGCCAAGATCTCCCATTCACATGTGAATTGCTCAATTCTGTCTTTTCACCATCTCCCTGTGAAACCCATGCTTCTCATATTAGGGACTTTCCCAGGGCTGTCAATCAGCCATTTGCCCATGACCTATGATTCTCACACTAGGGACTTCCCCAATTTTGTCACTCAGTCATACCCTGACATTATCCCTATTTATAGCATTATTACAATATGATGATTAAACATATAACCGTTTAACCAGATGATTTCACAACAAAAAACAATGTACTTAAAATATTTGGTTAAAAACAACTGTAGTGAGTGAAGGAGAGAAACTGACCTGGCTGCACCGAGTCCAGCCCAGGAGTTCAGCTCTATCAACCGAAGGTTGTTGTGGGAGGAGACAATTGTCCTGAACCTCTTTCTCTGCTGGGTAGTTGCCTCCAATACACTCTGAAAAATGACAGGTGTCAAATTAATTTATGACATAAATTAAAACATTACAGCCATTTAATGACGATAAACTGTTAAACAATTAATACACACAGGATATTAATTCTGTCCAGAATTGTTGCTTTAAACTCTTCTTATGCAGAGCAGCTGATACCTTAAGCCTAATTCAATATATGTTTTTTAATCTGTTACCCAAAGCCTAACTTCATCTTTTTATGAAGGAGTTTAATTTAAATACATCATCTAATGAAAGGGTAAACAAAAGGTTTATGAATTCCAGAGAAATTTGACTAAAAAGCTCAACAAAATGGGAAAGAGGAAAACATGCACAAAACAACACAACGTAACGTTTCAGCCAGGCAGCCTTTTTCAAACACAAGTGAAATACACAAACGAGGAATGGAGAGTATGTAGATCTCTAAGGGGTGACGTGAGCGACGCTTAAAAAATGTGATGCGGAATAAATGAAATAAAATAAAATAAACGATGGCTAAAAAATATAGTCACAATACTGGGAATAAAAGAAATGCAAGTGTTAATGATACATAAATGATATTGATAAGAAATAGAATATGGTAATAATATGAAATAAAATAAAATAATTAACATTTAAAATGTGATAAGATTAGAACTATTTAGATGAAGGTATGTTGGATATTGATACCTCTTGGACTAAGAACGCCAAGGCTGTGGATAAGGCGATTTTCCAAAGCGAGGCGGGTAGTATGATCGCCAGAGCAAGATTTTAATGCTGTGACAGATATGTCATCTTTACTGCTATTAAAATGAAGAGGGATTGGTTTGAGTGTCTTCTTGTCGATATCAGAGAGGTGTTCCCGGAAACGATCAGCTAGCTTCCTGCCAGTCTCCCCAATGTATGCCTTGCTGCATCGTTTGCAGATAATTGCATAAATTACGTTGCGGGATTCGCAAGTAAAAGGTTCCCTAATTTGAAAAGAACCATTAGGGAAACTGACCGAAGAAGTCTGGACAACGAAAGGACATGTTTTGCACGTGCTGCGTGAGCACTGAGTAGTCCCAAGAGGAAGTGCTGTATGGATCGGTGGCAGTCGGCTTCGGACAAGTATGTCTTTAAGGTTGCGATCTCGTCTGTAAACTAATCTAGGTTTCTCACTAAAGATAATTTTGGTGTCCGGATCAGAGCGGAGGATGTCCAAATGACGAAAGAATACTTTGGAAGCAACCACATTGTTAGGGTGAAAAGTCAAGATCAATTTAGGTCCATCATTGGTGGAGTTACGTTTGGTAGGAAAAGCATCTCTCCTGGTGATTGCTAAAACTTTGTTTAGAGCCCCTTGTAGAATGTGTTCCGGATAGAAACGGGCACGGAAGAATTCAAGAAGTTCAACTGATTTATCAAAGAAGTCAGAATCGTCAGAGCACAACCTGCGCAATCGAAGGAGCTGTGAATATGGAATAGAATTTTTACACGGTAGTGGGTGAGAAGACGTATAGAGGAGATAACTGTGAGAATCCGTGGGTTTGTAGTAGGCTGTGGTTTTCAGACACGGGAAATCGATGCTAATCGTGATGTCAAGAAAGTTAACTGAAGTGGTGGAGATCAGTGAGGTGAATTTGATAGCCGGATTGAAATTGTTGATGTAAGTAATAAATTGGTCAAGCTCAACCATGGACATTTCGGTGATACCGCCATCATCTATGTATCTCCTATACACCTCCGGAAACTTGCCCGGGTATGATAAACTGACCTCGTATTCCAGGTGGCCCACAAAGAGGCACGCGTAACTAGGACCCATCTTGGTGCCCATCGCAACCCCACTGATCTGGTCAAAATACTCACCATTAAACTCAAAAGAGTTGAGGGTCAGTACCAGTTCGGCAAGGCGTACAAGAACTGAAATAGGGATGATCGGGTTGGACCTTCTGTCCAAAAAGAACAGGAGTGCTCTAAGACCATCAGAGTGAGGGATAGACGTATAGAGGGAGCATACGTCTATCAGGAAAAGATGATAGGTTTTACCGGGAAGTAGTCTGATGGATTCGAAAATGTTGAGGGCATGGTTGGTGTCCTTGACAAATGAAGGGAGACTGGTGACAATCGGTTGGAAAATACTATCTAAAAATTCAGAAAGATACACCGTGGGACAGGAGCATGCAGATACAATGGGACGTCCAGGGTTGTTGGGCTTATGGATTTTAGGCAGCAAGTACATACACGGTTTGCCAAGTTGGCTGCCAAAAACACGCATATTGTTGGCCTTCTTAGGAAGAGTACCCTGTGAAATAAATGATTGTAACGTGTCCTTGACTTTCTTATTGTTGGAAACTGTGGGGTCGTCCCTTCTTGCGGAATAGAAAACGGGGTTTCTGAGTTGGGTACTGGCTTCCTCAATATAAAGATCCTTCCTCCAAACCACTACAGCGCCCCCTTTGTCAGCTGACTTTATAACAATATCGTTCCTCTTTCTGAGGGAGGAGAGTGCCCGCCATTCACCTTTGGAGAGGTTGGATTTAGGTAAAGGCCTTTGTTCCAACTGTTGGATAGTATGGAGCGTGTGGCTGTTGTATAGATCAAGCGCCTTAGATTTACCAGCAGGAAGAGTCCACTGTGAACGGGATTTGTTGGCCGTTGAAAGAAATGTAGTTTCATCAATAGGTCCAGTGGGGGCGGGTGGTTTATGTAAGAACTGTAGGCGACTGACAGAGTTAATCTGTATACTGTGTTTGTGGTTGCCTGGTTGTGAATCCTCTAGAACAGTGGTTCCCAATCAGATAAGACCTGCAGACCTCCTATTACTTTTTAAGATTTTCTAGGGATCCCAAACTTTTTGTTTAAAGTCAAACTGAAAAAAGCAAAATGTATACCAGACTCATACAAAAATAGGGTTTAGGTTTTTTTCTTCAAATAAAGGTTAAAGTCAAGAGGACTGATTTCATTTCACTGGGTTTTATTCTGTATAGCTCAGTCTCTCATCGCACAACAGTTTGCTGCCTGCTAGCACAAACTCAAAGTATGAACACCGCAGCTCTGGCAACAATCCAGCAGGTCTGCAAAAAAACTTCACTCATGAACTGGATGATGCTCAGTTGAAACAAACCCATGACCTTCAGAAAGTAAAGTAAGCTCCTTGAGCATGTTGCTGCAGAGATCCCCACTTTTTTTTTTCCTTTTCTGAATAATATCATTGACCCCTTAAAGTTGTTCCGCGGACCCCCAACTGGGAAACACTGCTCTATAAGACCGTAAGCTGCATAACTCTTAACTCCTTCAGTTCCAAGCCACGTGTTTCTTTCACTTGGAGACAGAATGTGTTGACATAAGGACTCGAGCAATGTGGGTAAGTGTAGTAACTGGATGAAACACAGGGAGCTAAGAAAATTGTACAATGTAAGTACAGGCCAACAAATACATGCTGAGTTGTTTGGTAGAGGATGAGTTAACCCTTTTGCTCTGGCGACCTAGAAAAAAAAACAATGCCTAGCTCCTGTAATTTCAATTTTCCTGAAACATCCGAGAGCAAAACCCTTAGAAAATTCAACCATTTTACAGGTCACACACACACACACACAAACGTTCAACTGATCATTTAAAATAATAACAAATTTTATAAGGAGTAAAGGGAGTAGTCAACACAAATGAATGCGGCATATAATCAACTGGCCTACATTTGCTGTGGCCTGTAAACTAATTACACCAGGACACATACTTGATCATGTGATCTGGTTACCTGGTAAACATTGCAGCCAAAAAAGGAAAGAAAAAAAAAGATGTAGAGATGTCTGTAAATAAAGTCATTTCTTTAAGGCAAACCAACTTAATTGCCAATTTTAGTAATTTAGTCCTTCCCTGTCATACTGAACGTTTGCGCAGCTGCAGTGAACTTTGTAAGCCAGACGCAATGGATCATTGGAAGGAGCAGAAAAAAATGGAGGAGCTGGATTGGTCATTATGCTGCAAGATGGGACTACAGTAAAAACATCATGTGCCTCTAGAAGACTAAACAAACTTCAGAGCAGAGCAGCAAGCAATTATTGATGCAAAGTGCTTAAGGAAAGAAAAATTAAAAACAGCTAAGCTGTTTTCCTTTGTGATTGCATGTCAGTCCTTCAGGATTACTTAGAGGGATCCAAGAGACAACATGGAGAGAGAACTGACCCGCCAGCTAAACAGACTCTCAGAAAACAATCAAACCATTCTCCAGGCGATCCTGGCAGAGAGACTTGCAAAAAATGGAACAAAGGAGAAACAACACACCAACTCAGTGTAATTTCCAGAAATCACAACACTCATAAAGGGAAGATAAAAGTTAAGTTGTGTATCCTTTACAGGACATTGCAGAACCAACCCCAGCATTTTTTGGCTGTTGTGGATTTTCTAGGCAAATTTATGTCTAGTAGTTTGCCACTGCTTTCTGGACTGCGGCTTCTCCAAACCACTGTCAAAACCAACGCAAGACCCGCAGCTGGGATTGAACACGGCATCAAAGCATTACAAAGTGCGTTCGTAACGCCTAATAAGCCACAGACGCCGACCATAAAGGGAAAACACAAGGAATTATGGAGAGAACAAACCAACAGTAAACATCCACAAGACCCGGTCATCAGACTCAACAGAAAGCAACATACAACAATTTTCCGTCTAGGAACAGGACTGCAGGCTCAACTACCACATGCATAAAATAAAGACTGTACCGTCCCCACAGTGTGCCTGCCAGACAGGACCACAAACACCTGAGCACATTCTGCAGACCTGCCCACTCTAACTACAACTTGGAAAAGGCACCTGGCCTCAAGAGCAAAATGTGCAGAGCAAGCTATGGGGAACCCTGAAGGACCTGCTGCCGACATACAAGTTCATAGAAGCAACCCACCTGATGGTCTGATCTGAGCATACAAAACCGAACGCACAGAAGAAGAAGTTAACTAGATGTCTTGTTATCGTTACTTTGTAGCTAGTCGCTACACCATGGTGGCTTCCTGTTGAGCTGCTATGGTCAAAAACATGCCTGCCAATTCTGGTGTGACTGAACCCTAATGCTGTCTTGGCAGGCAGGCGCACTAACCATTATGCCACTGCAGCTCTTGCTTTAAAAAAAAAAAAAAAAATATATACAGCAAAAAAAATTACCAAATTTGATTTCAGGGAATCCAAAAAATCTTCAATATCCTCTTTTGTGGTACCTCTTACTGAAGAAAAAAAAAAGCAAAATAAAAGTCATCTGTCATAACAACATGAAAACACACATAGCGATTTCAATAAATCAAGAATGCTGGTCAAAGCAAACAAGTAGGTACAGCCCCTTTACCGGCCATAAAGCAAACTGTCATCTAAAGTACCAGATAATGTGAGAAATTCCATCACAGTGTTAAGTTAGGCATAGTGCAAGGAAAGAATGCCAGGGCCCTGCCAGCACAAAGATGGGGACAGGATATAAATAGCAACTTGGGTAGGAAGGTGTGAAGGTAGGAGATCAGGTGAGAGACTGAGTTTCTTTCAGGCAGGCTGTGATGAAAGGCAGACTCTGCAAAGGACCTGCTTCATGATGAGATGTCAAGTTAGTTGTCAATCCTTTTACAGGACCTTGCAGAACCACCCCTAACATTTGTTGGCTCTTTGGCTTCACTAGGAAATTTTACATTTAGTAGTTTGCTACTGCTTTCTGGCTAGTCAGCACTCAATACCACTGTCGAAATCAACACAAAATGGTCTGCTGCCAAAGCAGCAGCAGCTGGAATTAAACTAGGTATTTCAAAATTACAAAGTGCATTTGCGATGCCTAAGCCACAGATGTTGACATCATAGTGTTACTTCAGTGGGGAGCAGGTGGAGGGAAGGCTTTCAACAGTGAATTCTTCAGCGTAAACAGAGGTCTTTTCCAGAATCAAAAATTCTAGTACAGTGGTACCTCGGAATTTAAACATAATCTGTTCCAAGATGACATTTGAATACAATGTCATTCGTATTCCAAGACCATTGTTCCCACTGAGAATAACAGATACAAAATTAATCTGTTCCAGGGTCCAACAAACTCAAATTTTTAAAAACCTACTTTCCTATACAGAGTACACAGCAAATATATTAACAAATAATGACCATTTATGAGCAAAATATAAATACATTTTTGTTAAAAAGATATAAAAGCATTGTATTTACCTTCTCTGTCTTGATCAAAATGATGAGACAGCACACAGAAGTAGGAGGAGGAAGGAGAATTTAGAGAGATTACTGACTGGAAGATGAGTCACTTTCCATGATAACAGCAGGAATTCTTTCTGGTGTTTCATATCGTAGTCATTCACTACTTGTAGAGGGTTTAGGGTCTGTAGTTTTTATTTACAGCCAACGTCCCCAAGTGCTCTGGTATTGGCGACAATTTTTAATATTTCTAAAATGTTCGGATATGTTATCACTGAAAAAGTTAATACATCTGTTAGCTAGGGCTCTATGAGGATGCCACCTCTCAACGACTTCTTGCGTTTTCAATCACACAGTTTGAGCTTTATGTGCTGCTCTCAGATGGCTACTTGACATTCTGTGGAGAGAGCGAGCCATTTAGGTTAATCCTCGACTTAAATTTTTATTGTTGGTAAGAAAAAATTCAGATCCAGTGTGTAAGATCATCAGTTCAACAGAGTTGGTCAAAGGCCCAAGCAACAGCATTTTGAAGCCTGAAGCAGACATTTAATTGCTAAGCCCCTGAGCCCTGCAACAAACAAAAAATCAACTTTAAATTATGAAATGATTCTGTGACAAGAAAACCTCTGTCAGAGATGGACAGTCTATAATATGGAACATGAGAACACTTACATTTAAAGAAGAAAAAGAGACTCAAATAATTATTAAAACAGCATAAATTATAAACCTTTAAAAACACACTTACTCTGGGCAGTTTCCAAAGGAGAATAACGTATGCAAACACCCTCCTTATCAACTTCTACCAAGTCTATAGGAACTCTAGGATTAGATGCTTGTAAGGCTTCAGCAAGCTGTCAGATAAAAAATAAAAAGTTGAACAATGAGAGGTAACAGCAATTCAGGCTTTTAGGCATCTCTTCTTTTATATTTAGTTGCAATATGTATAATTTTAATTTTCTTCTGTAGCATTCCAAGCCCTGAGGTTCATTACTGTAGATATCAACTGTCTCCATTCATCTCTAAGATTAGTCTTCTCTTTCCAAGTGTCTGTAGGTCTGCTTTCATATTATCTCTCAACTGTCTTCTTAGTTTGCATCATGGTCTACTCTCATTCAACTCTTCTGTGTAATTTATATCTCTCTGTTATGAGTTATTTTTCTCTATATCCATTGCAGTCTGTTAGGTGCAGCAGACCAATCATTAGTGGTGATTAAACAAGTAATGAATTTTATTGTTGCTTCTCACTCTACATTCTCTGCTGTTTGCATCTTTGATGTGTCTAAAGATTCACCATAGGACTGGTCTCAATAGTTTGTAATGAGGCTTCACCTCTTTTAACTGTACTAAAGGTTTTAGACCCCTATAAGACAGATGATTTATCAGTGTTTTATAGACTGTGATTTTGGTGTTACAAAACAGAGCCCTGTGTCTAACAACTTAGTATTTGTCCAAAAAGAGAGTATATAAATAAATTTTATGTCAAAGCTATTCTGGGTTATGAAAGTCTTGGAAAATGAATGAACAAATCAGAATGAGCTTGTGTGCAGCAGTCATGTGCTTTCTGAGATGAATGGTGTGAATACCTTGGGCAAAGTAACCACCACCCCCCCCCCCCCCCCCACCTTTTGTGAGTGGATTCCAGGATCTCATTTTTAAGGGGGGAGGGGAATAATAGACTCACAGCCCCTTAACTCTTTGAATCCTGGGGGCTTAGCATCAGAGGCCCAAGGGGTAGTCAAAAGAGATGTAAAATCGTCGCATCTTGCGTTCATTGGGCCTCTAGGCGGGATCCTATGAACGTATGATGTGTTTCTTAGGACTCAAAGAGTTAACATGCATACTGTAAAAATCAACTAATCTGAGACTGCTGAAATCAGATATGTTGGGTACAAGGTGCATGTACTGCAGCCTAGATGTAAGCCCTGATCCAAGGATCTAAAAACCAAAACGCAACTATAAGAAAAAGCAAACAATGTTCTTTAAGCATGTGGTGAGAAGCGAGAACATGGAGACCATGAGGACACCTGGAAAGATTAACAGTAGCAAGCTAGAGTCAGACCAAGTGAGACTGTATTTGACTGGTAAAGATAGTGGACAGAGTAACTACAATGGTGTCCTGGAAAATTCAAAATAACAGTTGAAAATTGTTTGGGTGGCCCTCCTACTTCATGTCATAGCCTAGTATATGTGAAGACCTAACAAACCACACCTCAGTAATAGTATATACAGTAAAGTCAAGAACCCTTTTTCACGGTTTTTAGCTAGGCTGTGATTTCAGCCTAACACGTTGGTTTTCAGAAAACCCGAAAAATCAGTCACAACATCCCTGTTGGAGGTGAGGTTGGGTGGGGTGGGGAGGTGGGGATGGGCTAGGAACCCACATATGAGGATGAACAGATAAATACCTGCAATTGCCTGACCACATGGTATGCAACTAAAAGAAAGTATAAATTTGGTACAACATGGTATGCAACTAAAAGAAAGTGTAAATTTTCTTTGGGCATGTGGTGAGGAGTTGGACAATGGAGAACATCACAACACCTGAAATGATTAACATTGGTCAGGCTAGAAGCAGACTGACAGAGATAGTACTAGTTGGTCCAAGAGCATCAATAGAATTCATCCAGAACACCAAGAGCTGGGGTCTGTGACACCTAAATTACCACACAATGCACATCACAATGGTGATTACTTTCCTGCTTCAATCCCAACAGCCAGAGTAAAGTATAGATGTATGTTTCAAGTCAAGATATTTGTCACTGACTGCTTCATTTATTTACCAATAGAGTTCATTCTGAACTGACTGTATATGTGTTTAAGTTTTACTCTTTAAGAGCAATACTGAAATACAGTTTTAAATTTAAAAAAAAATATATGAATAAACTACAGCAGGATGTTTAATATGCCTGTTTGCTAAATTTATTAAAAAATTAAATAAAGTTAATTCCTTTATAACCGGTGCCTCTGAAACATACAGCTTATTTACCAGCGCACAGGCTAAAACAACTTTTATAATCCACATTCAGAAAATTATTCAATCCCCTCACATAAAAGCAAGACCATTGTATTTAGACTGCTAACTGGAGACAACAAACTCTGCATGCATATGCACAAGACTGAGGACAGCACTTTGCCCATGTGGAAAGGCACAACAAAATACTGAAAACATGCTGCAGACATGTTTTCTGTATGCTGTAGAAAAACCCTAGATCTGGCCAGTTGGCATTCAAGTAGCAACCAGCCAAGCTGTACTGATGAACGAAGGACATGCATAACTCCACAATCTTCACAGAGGCCTGTAGTTTTCTCATCTGAAAACCACAGGCAGGGAAAATGAAAAGAAGCAGAAGTTATTCCACATAAGACAGCACCAGGCCAAGTAGGAGAAAAATTAGTGTATTTTTCCGCGTCCCCCATGTATACAGATATGTATAAGATAGCCTCTATTTGTTTTGTTAGCCCAAAATTAGGAAGAACAAATTTAAACACATTCTGTGTATAAGAAAGACAAGCCCCCAACTTTAAACTTAAAATATTTTAAACACATTTTGTGTATAAGAAAGACAAAACGCCCCAAACTTTAAACATAAAATATTTGAGAAAACATACTCTAATCCCCACTAACATACCCAAGTGTTAAGCGCATCAAAATAGGCTTTGTCTTTGTCATCAGTTTGGTTGTCCACATTAATACTGGAGAAAGGAACAATGGAAGCACCAGGGTCACTTGCATCATCCTTGTACTTGAAAACCACTGTAGGAGTCACAATCTCAAACACCAACTGAAATCAGACAGGATAATGTTAACGGGATATGGATACACACTTGTCTCAAATGTAATCAGACAGGATAATTTTAACGAGGCATGGATACACTTGCCTCAACTGTAACCAGACAGGATAATTTTAACGGTACGTGGATACAGTTACTCAAGTATAATCAGACAGGATAATTTTAATGAGACATGGATACACTTGCCTTGTGTAACCAGACATGATAATTTTAATGGGATATTGATACAATTGCCTCGAGTGTAACCAGACACACTTGCATCAACTGTAATCAGACAGGATAATTTTAATAGGACATGGATATACTTGCCTCAAGTGTAATCAGACAGGATCATTTTAAAGGGACATGGATACACTTGCCTCAAGTGTTATCAGACAGAATAATGATAATCCTAATAGGAAATGGATACACTTGCCTCAAGTGTAAACAGACAGGATAATTTTACTCAGGTATGGATACACTTGCCTCAAGTGTAACCAGACAGGATAATTTTAATGGAATGTGAATACACTTGCCTGTCAGCCTGGTGGTCATATGTCTGAATCACCACATAGGCAAATCATTACAAATCCACATGATCACCCAGAATGAAATAGGTGACAGGAAATGTGTTAGGAAATAAATGCAGCTAGCATGACACTGTAGTTCAAATGAAGTATGCTCAAATCTTCCACACCTAGTTCCCATGACCAAAGTAGTCTACGCTGTAACACTTTCATACTGAAAGTTCAACAGTGAAAGCAAACTTACCAATGCACTCACTGGCTTTGAGAAAATATTCTTCATGTTTTGCATCTCTCTTTCTTGCTTCTTCCTTTCACGGCTCTGCTAAGAAGAAAACCAAAGATAGTACTGAAAATCTCCAGTTGGTATAATACGAGGTAGAAACAAAAACAAAAGTGCTAACAGCAAGCTGTGCTGTAACAGCCAGCAGCACAAACTTTGATTTGCTGCAACGACATTGTTTTCTTAGAAACTTTTGCCAAGCCTGATGACTGTGAAAGCTTTCTATTTTATATAATCTTTTTTTGTCAATTAAGACGAGAAAGAGAATTCTTAACAGCTATATAAATGCTATCTTGATATACGAAAGTAAATCATGCACAGTTTGTAGATAAGTGAAAAATAATTTGGAAGCTGCGTAGATGTGGTTTTATAGACGAATGATGAGAATACCATGGACAGATAAATTGAGTAATGAGGATGTCTTGAAAGAAACTGACTCATAAAGAGAAATGATTGCCCACATCAGAAAGAGACTTCATTGTTTGGTCACGTGATGAGAAGGAGAAAACTGGAGTACATTGTGACAGTAGGAAAGTTGGAGGGGAGGAGACGCAGAGAAACAGAGGGAAAAGCATAGTCTGACATTATGGTATGGAGGATCATCTGTGTCAGAGTTGGTTTAAAGTACACAAGACAGAAGGTTGTGGACAGACATGACTACCAACCCCACAAGGCATAGACTTTGAGAAAAAAGAAAGCATTCTGTCCCCATTTACAAGCACTACTCTAGGTTTATCAGTTCTTCTTCTTTTGTTTTCTTCTTTCCACAAATTCTTTTTTTTCTTCTTCTTCAACATTCACACTAAAACAAACACTGGTAGCACTGTGTCTGTGAATGATTATGCTACAATGCTTATGGCTTTCAAATGCAGACAATTTGAGAACAAGAAGTATGCCTGCTTTGCAGAGAAAATTATGGCGACAATGCATCATCAACAAACAACAAGAGGAAACAAAACAACATAAAACAACCAGGCCATCACAAAGACTGAATCTCTTTTAGTATTAAATCTGCTACCAATTCAAGACATCACCCTCCGTTAGGTCATTTCACCACCCAAACAAAACAATATAAAACAACCAGCCCATCACAAAGACTGAATCTCTTTTAGTATTAAATCTGCTACCAATTCAAGACATCACCCTCCGTTAGGTCATTTTACCACCCAAGAAGTCTTGGTAATAATACCCTCTTTAAGGATCACTATTAATGAATTATAGCTGTAGTGATGCAGAGACCAAACAGCTTGAAGAACCTACAGCACAGCATCAGCAAGTAAGCTGAAGTAAAATTTTGAGATCATGCATCTGTCCCATGTCAACTTGCGGATGTCAGCCATGGTCTTCCATTCAATCACTGAAGAAAAATGTCAGAGATCTTGAATTGAAATGCTGCAGAATTTTTTTTAGAACCTTCAGACCAAAAAAAAAAAAAAGAAGAAAAACACTGACATCCTATGGGGTCTGAATATCGAGGAGAATTAGCTCATAAATAGCATCCAGTCCCAATAGCTGAGGCATTTTGGCAATACTGAATGTCAAGATAGCCTGGAGAGAACTGCGATGGAGAGAAGGGTCATGGAGGGTACAGTTTCTGGAACATGAGGCCGAGGCAGATCTCCGCAAGTCTGGATACAATACAATAAAGATGCACTGGTTACACAAGCACACAGGGCTGGAGAACAGGCTAGAAAAAGAAATACTTTCAGGGGCGGGGTGTGACGAGAGCAACGCTCTGTAAAGGACTTGCTGACCGATGACAATAAATTAGTTACCAATGCTGGGAAGTAAGCCCAGGCAACAAATGTTTGATTAAGTCGGGGTGTCTGCAGAAAGCCACAGGCACAACACAATTATGTCACTCAGGCGAATGAACAGAAGAAGAATTACTAATAAAGTTACTCACAATCTGCCTGACAGTGCTGATCTTGTCCAGATCATCGTAGAGTGTTTTTGCCTAGAAGAAAATAAGGATAAATGTAAATTTAGCTAGCACTCATCACTTATGGCACAACTGCAGCATGTGACACAAGCTAATGTAAGCATCTTCATTATTCACAGATATCTGTAATATTAACCATGTCAAAAGGGGGTGGCCATCTTAAAACTGCTATTATGGTATCAATGTGTTTGTCTGCAACATAATGTCACATTCTTAACACTTTTGACATCCTTAAAAATCATACTCACATGTTACAAGACAATGGCATTATTATTGTCATTTCTATCACTCTTTTAAGATATTCATTGGAAGCTCCCTAGGGCCACAATCTGGCAATAGATCCACTCTCCCCCTCACAAGCATATCATAAATGTTGACTAATTAGGGGGTGTTTCCCTTGATGTTGGTGTGCCCGAGAAGCGAGGAACCATACCAAAAAAAAGCCAGATGGGTAAAACAGGTGTACACACAAAACTCAAGTTCTGGAACAAGACTTAGTTCCAGAAGTGAAGGAACAGCCAGAACTTTCTGCCAGAGTTCACATCCGGTGAACGTGAAGAAGAAGAATGCATCAGTTGTAAACAGTCACATCATATTCTCCTTGTGTGATCTGTAGGAAACGACTGCAGCACTTATAAAGATTAAACGTAATTATATGCCTGAGCAGCAGCTGGCCAAATGCTAAGAATGATTGATTCATATTCAGAAGACACAGGTTTGAATCCTAAGTTTACTGCACGGTTTTCTGGGTTTTCCTTCGAAGTTGGAGTGCATCTGCCCAAGCGGCAAGGAACAACCAAGTGCACACAAATAAGCCAGTTAAACAGATGTACATGCAAAACTCAGACCCCGGCCCAACGCCAAATAGACGAACAACCTGGAGTTTTCGCTGGAACTTACTGCCAGTGAAAGAAGAAGAAGAATTCTCAAGTGATAAAAAATTGTTTCTGTCAGTGCTGCACAGACGGTGGCAACTACACTAGACCTGAGGTCCTAAATCCACAGGCTTGAGACCCTCTCCACTATCATCATCTCTAACTACACTGCAGTAAGGAGATTGTGTAAGCCAAACCAATTATGATACAAAAGTGAGAAACAGAAGTAAGTTATCTCACCAGTTCACATGAATATTTGATTTTGCTAACAGCCCCTTCGTGGCCAAGACTTTGCAGGCACATCCACAGTGGAAGACACTTGAGCTGCAGCCTAGGATCTGTGGTGGTCAGGCCAGCAATGTCTGTGAGGTATCGGTCAGACTCTTTGAACAAAGTCTGTAGTGATTTGGTTAAGGTCTAGAAATAATGCTGTCACACTGCTTAACCCACCCCTTTAGACTAGAGATGGTTTAAGCCTACTAAGGAAATGTTCTAAATTGCTATCTAAATTAAAAATCTGGTCTGTAATTTAACAAGTACTAACATTTATTTAGCTCAACCCTTTGACAACATTAGTATGTGTAATTTTTTTTTTTTTTTTTAAACTCAATGACCTTTTATACACTTGAGGCACACCCGGAATATGATGCCAGACTCATATTTTGTTAGACCAATCGGTACCTAGTGGGTGATGTGACTTCAACATCATGTGAGCCGCTTTTACTTGCCAGAACATTACCTGGTACCCATTTTATACTGGGTCAACCTTGGGGTCAAGATCTGTGTGGGTTCTGGGGCCCCACTGTGTAGGGAAAAAATAATAGATCCACCGCCCTTTAACAAGCATGTCGTAAAATTCAACTAATTAGGGGTGTTTCCTTTAAAGTCTGAGTTCATCTGCCTGAGTGCATCTGCAAGTGTGCATATAAATAAGCCAGATCTGTCAAATGGATATGCATGCAAAATTCAAGTTCTGCAAAAAGGCCAAAGTCCAGAAGTGGACAAACAACTGAAACTTTCTGCCAGAGTTAACAGCCTGTGAATGCTAAGAAGAAGAAATTCTTTCCTCTTATCTCTAGTGACATGCATGGATAGGTTACAGTGTTGCTTCAAATAAGTGCTCTGATAACTCAAGTATACCCTGATTGTCGCAGCAGAAGATGTGACAATTCATGACAAGGATACAATATATGACAGGGAAGGAACACCCAGCCAGTTAGTGAGGTCTAATGTGAAGCTATCACTGACTGTAGCCGACTCAACTGATGAGGGCACAGAAAACATGGCCAAAGTTGCCAGACTGTTGCTGAAAGAAAAAATGTGCACGTTAAATAAAGCAACCCTCATCACAATATAACATTTTTAATTTAATTTTTTTTAAACATCAGGAGATATCCTGTCACATTTTGTTAAAACTCTGCTGTTAGTTTCTTAAAGAATGTTGTAAATCTATCCCAGCATTTGTTCACATTCACAATACCATTGCCAAAGTCAACGCTTAGAGTTCTGCTAATAAAGCACCTGCATATGTTTTCAAAACCTGGTATTTATTCTAATTTCATCATTCCTAAGCCAGAGACATCATGATCTCCATGGCAAAGAGGTCAAGCCATTTGCCTTGAGCTCTGAAGGTTGTAACTTCATTTCATGGATGTGCCATTTAGTTCACAGGAAAAATGTGTATGGAGATCATTGGGGATCACTGCTGGAACTATGGAATTCATGCTTTGTGTGATGCTCTCTGCAGGCGATTAGTCATTAAGTTTTATCCCAAATGGGATATAACTTAGTGCAATGAAGTCCATCCTCTCAACTTTAACTTTATGCCTCAGATATAATGTATTTTTAAATTTCAAAGTTTTTATATTTTTTAAAATTCATGTCTACACAATTTAGTTAGTCGAGGTTCCAACAGTTAGTTGTTCACGGTTCCAACATCACTGCAGACAGGTCGCCACATAACTATTCCTTTCCTGTGTCAGTGAAAAACACACAAAATGTCCTTCACTAGCCCATTTAAAAATTAGTGAAAAGCTTGTCAGTCCCAGCTACATCTTGAAGCTTGCACACACAAAGTAAAAATGCATGAGGCAGCTGTCAGATGTGCCAACACCAACAGTCTCACACCAGAATTGCAGCTCACTATTGGTGAAAACTGTCAATCGTGAAAGTCAGCACTGCATCTGTGAAAGTACGAGCCATTCTTAATGTAATCGGGAATCCGCAACTTAAATGCAGTCTACAATATGCCATGAGCACAACAACAACAAAATATTCAACAACTTGCAGTGTCACATCAAGCATTCAATTTAGTAGCTTGATAATGGAACTTTAAGACTGCTGGTCCAGAAATTGGGATTTACATCAGCAAAACATCGCTAGAAACACACAAAAAACACTTTCTAGAGCATCAGTGGTCAGCCGGCTATAAGCCATATCAGTGGTCAGCCGGCTATAAGCCATATCAGTGGTCAGCCGGCTATAAGCCATTCTGACTGGAAGTCTCCACTGCTTACTCTACTTTCAGTCAATGAAGGTGAACGGTGCCTTAGTGGTTAGTGAAAATGCCTGACAAGACAATGATCTAATCTCAAACTTCGGCAGTTGCATTCCCCCCCCCCCCCTTCCCTATCAGCCATCCATTCTAAGGGAAAAGATGCCCTCCTACTTCATGTCATGGCTTAGTATATGTGAAGACCTAACAAACCACACCTCAGTAATAGTATATACAGTAAAGTCAAGAACCCTTTTTCACGGTTTTTAGCTAGGCTGTGATATCTGCTCCTTTCAGCCTAACAATTTGGTTTTCAGAAAACCCGAAAAATCAGTCACAACATCCCTGTTGGAGGTGAGGTGGGGTGGGGTGGGGAGGTGGGGATGGGCTAGGAACCCACATATAATGATGAACAGATAAATACCTGCAATTGCCTGACCACATGGTCAAGAATACAGACCTCATTCAAGACCAGAGATAGTGCAAAATGACTAACCATAACCACCTAAGCACATCAAAATGGTATATGATGATGAACTAGATGCTCACCTACAAGTTCAAAGGTCTTGGGTTCAAATCCCCATCAAGTCAGATTTCTTTTAAAATTGACCCTAGCTCCCAGGTTGAGCCAGTATAAAATGGATAGCAGGTAATAGCCTGGGAAGTAAGGGCAACCATCATGACGCTGACTACATCACCCGCCATATCATATGCTGGATATGAGGGGGCTGAGTGGTCTCAAGGTATGGTTTCCGCCTCGAGTGCTGGAGGTCTCGGGTTCAGGCTCCAGTGAAGGCTGGAATTGTTTTTCACAAGTACTTATAGTAATTTGCCCCTGGTCTCTGGGTAGAAAGACTGAACTCCCGTGTGTATTGCTGCACATGTTTTAAAAAATCCCTTGGCAGTTGGAAATCGAAAAGAGTAGCCAAACGGCGCTGCCCAGGCAAAAAACTTGAAGTTAAAAATCCACCCAAATTATTTCAACAGAGTGCAACAGAGTTCATGCACTGTGCTGAGATTCTTCAGACTCAGGCTTGAGTTAGAAGTAGAACGGAGTACTTATGAGTTACATCCATGTGCCATGATGCTGATCCGTCAAATAAACATAAACAGAATATGAAACACTGCCATAAAAGGGATCCTTTACTTTTTACATGATGATAACAACTTTATAAGAGTCAGAAATAAACTAAACTGACACACAGGCTAACCGACAATACACACATCATACAAACTACATACCCATCAACGTGAAGCCAGATGTTGTGTGTCCGGGAGATCTCCTGCAGCCTCTGCAGGTTATCCACATGACCAATCACTGGGGTTCCTAGCAGACAGAAAGAGTAAAATGAAGTGAAGGACCCTTTTAAATACCAGTGGTGCATCGAGTATTTGATGCCAGACTTGTATTTTTATAGCTCAACTGGCACATGGTGGGTGATGTGGTTAACATCATGATAGCTGCCTCTGCTGGGTCAACCTGGAAACAGGTCCATTCTGAAGGGAGAAAATCTTGTCACAATGCAGGTTCAAACCCAACACCTTGGTCCTGGCAGATGGGCATCTAGTCACTTCACTACTTCGGCGCGCCTGACAGAAAGAGTATCCTGAATCTTATCTGCTTGAACCTTAACTCTTTCGGTTCCATAAGATCTTAAAGGAGATGGGTAACGAGTACTTAGCCATAAAGAATAAAGCGTACATGTATTACTTTTTCAGGGGTATTGTATAACTTAGAAAATAAAACACACTATGTTTAATTATAAAACAACGGGTTAAATGTTTTCCACAAAAGTTATATCATATCATGCCATGTTTGAGACATATGGGCAGTAGCTGATTACACATGATGCACTGGTTGGGGCTGAAAGGCTTAATAAGCCTTTCTCTTGATACTGAGTTCCAGCACCAGTCTTGCACATCCTTTTAGTTAGCGTGACAGAATTATGATAGTCTCAGCTGAACCGAGAACACATCAACATTAGTTATATATGCTCCTGATCATATTCAACATTCTCTATTATTGACACTAAAGAAAGGAAGCTGCCCTACTATTAGGCTTGTCCTACAGGCTGTGGATGGTGAAGAATTAGTCTCTAGTTTTAAAAGTTAGCCACGGTTAGACTCAACAGGTGGTTGCGGACTAACAAAGACAGCAGCCATTGAGGTGAGGTGAGTTAGTCAGTGAGGCAGCTATATTTATAATGAACAAATGAATCAATAACTGCCATCATTGGGCACTCGGGGCATTCTCACACATACTCTGTCCCCCTTCCTCAGTAGCCAGTATGAAAAGTTCCCATAGTGATGGTGCCAGACGTAGTCTTCCATTCCCTATTTCCTCCTTTTTTCTACTACCTCTTCCTCTATCTTTGTTGGCCACTGAAGAAAGTATCAGGCTCAGTGCACTCATTCCGTTGCTGCAGAGATAATTCTTCTTTATACAGTAAAACCTCATTAACATGAATTCCACGTAACTAAAAAATCAAGAGTTCGTGTTAAAAAAAAAATCGCGCTAATAGGGGACTCAAATTAAGACATCCGTGAAGGGAAGACAATTTTCGTTAATTTAAAAAAAAAAGGAGAAATTTTTTCCCCTGCAGAAGTAACATCTCAAGGATGAGAATCAAACCAGTACAAATCCCAGAAACCCTGTTTAAGCATCACAAAACAGTTCAGAAGTAACCTGTAGTCCAGTGTTAACTAAGTGTTCTTCTTAAGCGAGGTCTTGTTGAAGAGGTTTTTACTAGAATGGCTACTGTATAAAGCCGACTAGACTGAATATACTAAATGCCCTCAGAGAAGCAGGGATAGTATAAGAATGAAATGATGACTGTGGATCTAAAACTTTGACCAGACTGAAAACAAAACATCAAGACAAACAGCAAAAAGTCCATAAGAGCATGAGGCAGACAGCCAAAAAGCAAACAAAAACAACAGAACTGGTGTTGTCACTACATGCTGATGGATAAACTGAAGATAGATGATCAAAACACTTATGGACTGAATTGTTCAACCTCCCTGTGTAGGTATCGGAGCCCCATTGGGACAGGGGCACCGTCTCCTCAACAACATGACAGAAAAAATTACTCAAATCTGACGTGTCAAAAAGCACAGACACTGAAGCCTAGCTGTGAACCACAACACAGCGTGCTAACCACCCTTTTAAGCGTGAACTCATAAAAAGAAGAAAGAGAAAAAGAATGGTTCATTGTGCAGCATACATGATCTTCTGACTAAATAATTTACTGACCTGCATAGGCAACAAGCAAAACTGGTGTCTTGGCAGCAGCGATGTCATCTTGTATCAACTTTTCCAGCAAAACTACATCCTGGGTTTTATTAGAAGATGAGAAAAATGCAAATGTATCTCATGCAGGGAATACTTCAAGTAAAATAAGTCATCTGATGAGTGGCTGGCCAAGTGGTTAGGGCACTAGGCTTTCATGCTGGAGATCCAGATTCGATCCTTAGAAAGGGATGAGATTTTTTGTGTGTGGTTAGGGACAAAAATAATAAACCTAACCTGTACAATTTGTGGTGACTGCACTAGTCATGTGGTCTAAAGCCACTTGTCCCGGGGACATTAAAACAAAAAAAATGGGCCTTGACCCCTTGGAATTTCAGAAAAGAATCCTTAAAAAAAATTTTTTAAACAATTTTGCATAAGTCACTAACAAGTTCTTTAAAAATGTAGCTGATCACATCATCCCATTAAAAGTAACAGTGCTTTCAGGACAAACCAGTCTGAATGCAGAAGCAGATCATCTTTATCAGCATACGACAGTAGGTTACAATTGACTGGTTTGTGTGGCCAATACAACTGTCCTAACTGTAACTTCTTTGGAGGTTGAAAGGGATACATGAGACCTGCCTTGCTAGTCTGCCATCCAGATTGACATTTTTAAAAATCTCAGGAAGGTATGGTAAACATTTAGGCAGCATACCAGAGAGGACAAACCGATCGATGAGTACCAGAAAACCTGGAAATATAAACGTACTTGTTGTGATACTGACCATATAATCTGTTAAGTGACAAGTAGTTTACAAATATGGGTTGCGTTGGCAGAGCCAACCATTCAGGAAGCAATGGCAAACTACTGAATGTAAAACTGCTTAGTAAAACCACAAAAAGCTGAGGCTAGTTTGCAATATCCTAAAATGGATACAAAATTAACAGTACAAGAAAAAAAAAACGTAGAAAGGTTTTCATAACCAGATAAATACAGGGTCTCCGCAACTTACGACAAAGTTCATTTCCAACTAAGAGATTGTAAGCCAATCTGCTCATAAGTCAAATTTATATTTTCAACACCATTTTTATTCAAACAAGTTATAAACATCTGTGTTATAAACACAAAAATGCAATCTATGTATCCTATAATGATTGTACATGTGAAAAATACATAATTTGTACTCTAGTGCATCATTTTTGTGAAATTTATGACCCTATCAATGTAGTTTTCTTTCTTTACTTAATTTTTTGTTTATACTGAGTGGTCGTAAGTGCAGATAATTGTAAGCCTCATTAAGCTGCAGAGGTTACAAGTGGAGCAGAATGTGCAGTCACTTACCATTTTGCTAGTGGGCCCTTGAAGTGTATTGCATGGTACTGTACAGGAACATGACAATGGAAGTCCTAACTGAAAAATAAAGCAGATTAGACACTTGACTGTGAAAATCAGCAAAAGATGTTTCTGACATATCTATTACAGACAGATCATCAGCAAAAGATGTTTCTGACATATCTATTACAGACAGATCATCAGCAATAGACGCTTCTGACATATCTATTACAGACAGATCATCAGCAAAAGATGTTTCTGACATATCCATTTCAGACAGATCATCAGCAAAAGATGTTTCTGACATATCTATTACAGACAGATCATCAGCAAAAGATGTTTCTGACAAGTCTATTAGGAATCTGTCTACGAAAGACAAATCATCAGCAAAAGATGTTTCTGACATGTCTATTTAGAATCTGTCTATGAAAGACAAATCATCAGCAAAAGATGTTTTCTGACATGTCTGTCAGGCATTTGTCTGTGAAATCATCAGCAAAAGATGTTTCTGACATGTCTATTAGGCATCTGTCTGTGAAAGACAAATCATCAGCAAAAGATGTTTCTGACATGTCTATTTAGAATCTGTCTATGAAAGACAAATCATCAGCAAAAGATGTTTTCTGACATGTCTGTCAGGCATTTGTCTGTGAAATCATCAGCAAAAGATGTTTCTGACATGTCTATTAGGCATCTGTGAAAGACAAATCATCAGCAAAAGATGTTTCTGACCGGTCTATCTCAGCAGTCCAAGCCCTTGGGGTTGACTGCTGCGGATATCACCCACCTCTATTGATTTCTGTGATTGGTCTTTTTTTTTTTTTTCAGTTTGTGACTGCAAGTGTTTGTAGGTCTACCTATGTAGTATTTCTCAACCTTTACCTACAGTGACTGTTACCCAGCCCCCATGGTCTAGATCCTTCTGGGCCCGTATAGGGCTTATAAGTCACCTCTGGACTCATATAGACAATCAACTACAGTTTTATAATGGATGAAAGAAAGAGTGGTCCTCATCAATCAACTGTGATGAATGAACAAAACATCTCTCCACGATCTTTTTGGTCTTCCTCATGGTGAAGTTACATTCCTCTCTTTTGTGTACATACTTTTTGTCTCTCTGTTGTTAACAATGACACCATAATTTTTCTAAGGCTCTCTCTGGATGACAGGGTTAATGAACTGTGTGGCTGGTTTCAGTACTAGACTTCTAATTTCTACATTTTTGAATTGTATCTCTTGTTGTTACTCCAGCTCTTCTAAGACATATTGCAGCTGTAACAGACTTAAGAGACTCATAGAAGATGCTTCGGAAAACTGAAACTGGAGTCCTACATGTAGAGTGGCTTGCATCACTTGATAAGACTCAGACCAAGAGCACATCATGGATTTCCTGTCAAAGTTCAGGCGTGCAGGGTAATGAGGAGGCTGAAAGATTAGCTGCTGCTGCTCCTTCAGGCGATGAGCTATTTTTTGATAAAGTGGATGTGGTGAAGTTTCACTGGGATCAAACTGACTGTGCAATAGAACAGACAGAGAATCAATACACTGAGAGAATAATTCAACAGGGGGTGAGTAGAGGTTCAGGAAGATATTCAAACTGGCTGAAAAGATAGGCAAACTTTCTAATCAGGTTGCAACAGGGGTACTATTGACAGGTCGACCCTTCGTTGGCAAGTGAAGAAGGATATATAGCACAAGTGAGAATGTACCAAATGCAGTGATGTAAATTTTTTCATTAAAACATCGTGGCTCTCAAATATGTTGTTAGAAAAAGTTCCCCAAATCCTTATCATTTGCCAGTGTTTCCCAAACTCTTCTTAGTTGCGGTGCATTTTTTTTTTCAATTACTATTTTTCCACGGCACCCTAGCCTAAGTAAAAGTAGGTCTATTCGCATGTAAGAGATTAAAACAAATAAAACTCGTGTATCTTTGACTATTTCGCAGTACCCCTGTGAAGAGGCAGTGACTCCCCGGCACGCTGCGGCGCAGTTTGGGAATCTCTGTCATATACTTTTTATTTTTTAACAGTCAATTATTTAGGGCATTTTTATACCTGTTGACATAAGTACTGTCCTAGGCCTGGGGGTGCTGCTGAACTAATGTAGATGACCGGTGGCCGAGAATACAAAGCCTCAAAACCCTCTGTTGCATATTTCGGAAATTTTGTGTACAGGGCAAGTCTGCCAACACATGTGAGGCCTTCGTAGCGTCTGTCATGATAAACTGGCACAGAGTTCTTGAATCTGGGTAGCACACACAATATACAGGATAAAGTCAAGAATAAAATGTGTGGCTATCCTCCGAATAACGGGCACAAAAGATGGCAGCCGCAAAAAACACCCTAACAGAGCCTCAGTCACATGTCAATTGCACACTTCTGGCGTCTTAATTTGCGGTTTTCCGGAGACTACCACCACCGCCGAGAGTATTCCCCATGCCGCTCACGCGGCATGGATTGGGGCTAAACCAGATGGCTGAGACTCACAAACAGCAGCTTCCACATTTCCTGCAGCTTTGCTCGTGAGTCCTAGCCATCTAGTTTAGCCCCAATCATGCCGCGTGAGCGGCATGGGGGATACTCTCGGCGTTAGTCGCCGGAAAACTGCAAATTAGGTCGCCGGAAGTGCGCAACTGACAAGTGACTTAGGCCCTGTTTTTTGGCTGCCATCTTTTGTGCCTGTTATTCGAAGGATAGCCTAAAATGTGTTAATGAAAAGCTGGGAATATTTCATCACTGTACATAACTGGGATCCACAGCGAATAACAGGATCTGTCATTGGACAAAGACATCAATATCAGGATAGGTAAAGCACCAACAACAATGAACAGGTAAACAAACAACAACAAAAATGTTTGGGAGAACAGAAAGCTCATGACTAAAACAAAACAAAAGTTTGGGAGAACAGAATGATCATGATTAAAACATAAAATGTTATCTATCTTCTCTGAGTGTTTTCAGCACTCCTCTTGTGAAACTTGTTTAACTTATTCAAACAGGAAAAATGGCTAAATAAGTTAACACATTTCTTCTTTTGCTTTTTTTTTCCTTTGCCAAATGGAGTATAGGCAGCTAACTAATATTTGCCAAGCCTTTTAATCTTATTAGCCTTAGAAAGCTGGTTTTTCTATATTTATGGGTTTTTGATGACATGAAATCTAAAGACAGTGGCCAATGTGCCTTCAATAATACAGCTTTGATTCTGATTGCAATCGCACTGTGTGTAGACATGGTGGGTATAATCATATTTTAAAGTATTTTTTCAAAGATATTTCTCAGGTAGAAAAAAATCAGTTTATTATTGGGGAGGGGTCTTCGTGACATCACAATAAACTTACAACGATGTCACTTTGCTCTCTGTGCCTGGGTAAACAATATTCTCGTTTTCCGTTCAAAGGGGAGGAAAGCAGTTATTTCATTGCTCCATTTGAATTTAGTGATTACTTCCCTTCACACGAAAAAAGTCACACACACAAAAATTACCTTCACGCAAAATAATTATGGAGCAAAAGGGTTACAAAAGCGCAGTCATGACTAGTTAGATTTTGCAGCTTAAGCATTTTTATGGGATGAGGTAGTCAGTCTCATGCCAGCTCTCTTTAGTTACCTCAAGTGACATGATGCATGGCAGATTACAGTGTGACTATATACTGCTTTCCTTATAAGGGTCCCAGATACAGGAGTCTCGTGCCAAGCTCTGTTGGAGGGGGGTGGGGGGGGGGTTGGGGGGGGGGGGGGGAGGCACAGCCAGCCTAATCTTTGTTCTACAAAATGAAGCCCTTGAACCCACACAGGGAAACTATCAAGTGTTGTTTGGCCTATAACTTGGTTTTATCCCATTTGACTTAAGTCTCCCTCTGCAGAACAGCTCAGCTGCCTGCTGAGAGTGTCGCACAGAGCCCGGCCTCCGTAGTTCTGGCGATGATACCCAGGAATCTCCTTAAAAATTGCACCCGTAAACTGAACGGCGCCACAGTGAAATGAACCCATGGCCTTCAGAGCATAAGGCAAACGGCTTGACCACTTCGCCACTGAGACCCCCAGTTGGCCTATAAAAATGGGACTAATACCATATTTACAATAAGTCGCAAGGTTTTGAAACAAATTTTTCATTTTTACTTATCGCTTGTGCAGTATGCATGGAAATGACTTGGGGGGGGGGGGGGGAAACACACACAGTAAATTAGACAGTTAACTCTTCTCTTGAAGTCTACGGCAGACATTATACAGATAGTATTTAGATGGTGTAAACTAAACACAAGTTAACATTTTCACCAGACTTTATCAATGAAAAAAGAAACTCCTACACCACAAAAAGAATTAAAAACAATCATACAGACAAGGATCCCACACAATTTGCTTGTCACAAATGAACACCATGGTGATCTGACTGTTGTTAAATCTGTAAACAAAACAAGATGCAGTGAGATTCACAAATTAACTTACCTAAATAACCGTGACAGCCACAGTTTGCAGTCTGCTTCCAACTTACAGGCAGCTCGTTCTAGCGCAGAGGGCTCCAAGGTGGTGAAGTGAGCAGCCAGACTATGGGCAGTAATGGTCAATTTCCCAGTTTCATCCAAGTCTTGCAGTTGTGCAGACTCGCTATGGTCAACAGAAATACAGGTTTACTGAAAAATGGTGAAAATACTTTCAAGAGTGTCTCAAAAACATTAACCCCTCTAGTATGTCTCCACCTCTTCAGCAGAGATCTTGTGAGTTCAAAAGACCCTACGAGCTATACTGATAGTAGTTTGGTTTCTGATGGGTCTTCCATGTCAGAAAGCCAGAGGAAGAGCTGTGTTAGAATTAGTTAAGTGACTTCATAGCACTCAGGACATTCTCATAAGCACTCTGTCACTACCTTCAGCAGCCAGCACAACGTTCTAATTCTGAAAACACCAGTGAATTTGTTCAACGTCAGTGCAACAAAATGTTGGGGACATGGTTGGTGATGAATAAAATTAGCTCAATGGGAGCCCTTTTTTTAACGACTAACCAAATATTTCAACAATAGAAGGTAATAAAAATGTGAATAAAGGTAAAAAACAATTTCTTTGCTTGTTGTGTTTATCTGGTACGTTACAATGAGCATTTGTGAATGACTGATTATAAAAGCACCTCTAGTTGAAGTCTGAGCTATTTCCTTTATTAACTGGAGTTGAAGCTGTAGCTGTAGACTTCTGTAGGAGTCTTTGTTTGGAATGGTGATAATCCGCAACGGTGTGGTAAATAAAATAAAATGGCGATCAATAAGTCATGATGTTGTGACTTCTGACCTTGAAGATGTTACAATGTGCCGAAGAACAGCAGGTCCGATAACATCAAGACTGACATCCTGTTTGATATGAGGTTAATTCTCTTAGTGTAATGCCAGTTAATGCCCAACATGCCTTTATCTTCTGTCACATAAAACAGGATGCTCTGCCTTTTTCAGTTTTATCTGCTTTTTCTTTAAAAAAAAAAATCATTCAGCTTACACCTAATTGTGTCTGATATGATGTCACCTTGTTGCTCTGCGTATGGAGGAAGATTGTCAAGCTTACCAAATTCATTCTGAGCAGTCTTTCTCCATTTTCTAACAGAATTTTCAACTGTAGAAATGTTTTGGTCTCGTGTGCCACGCCCACTTCTTTCTTCAGATGTACCTACATTACCTCAGTCATCAAGTCTATCACCTATCATCGTTGTCACTACTTTCAGTTGCGTTTTGACGGTAACATCCACTGGTGCATGTCTGTTTATCCAAGAACTTTTGTTTTTCAGCAATACATCTGATGGCAGATTCTGAATCGAAGCTGGACAGCAAAGTGTTAAGGATAAGCCCATATTAGGTCCACCTCATTCCTCAATAGCCAGCAAAGAGTCTCCATTTTGATGGTAGCCATGGTCATCTGGTTAACTTCTCATCTTACCTTTCCCCTGAGTCTTGAGTGGCACCCAGAGTCTGCAGACACATCCTACTACATTATTCTGCCTAGGTACAGATTTTAGGATGTCTTACATTTTTATTTTTCCTCACAGAAAGAGTGCATCAGCTGCTTTATGCTTGTGGAGCTTTTGAGAATGTGGAGCTTTTGAGAAAGAGATTGGAGCACCTATGGATCTGTACGCAGTGCTGTTTTGATAATACTCACAAACCGCTAATCACCAAAGACCTTCTACATTGACACTGAATGACCCACGGCAGCCACTGCTACCATAGGACTGCCAACTTTTCCACTCAACAGTGTTAAATGGCAAAAGGTGAAAACTGATGACGACAATGCTGACAGAGCTCTCAAAATGATGGCTAAGAATCAGTTTTGAAATGTTGCAAAAAACTATTGTGAAGCAGAAAGAATGTCAAGCCGTCAAGAATGTTCTGGATTCAAATCCTCAGTAAAGTGTTAGAAATGATTTTGTCGGAGACAAAGATTAAAATATCCTAACCTGCCCAATACATGGTGACTGCAAAAGCCATGTGGTACTCTTCTTATTCTTATTCTTCTTCTTCGCGTTCACCAGCTGTAAACTCCGGCTGAAAGTTCTGGTTGTCCATAAACTACTAAACTTTAGTCTTATTCCAGAACATAAGTGTTGTATGCATACCTATTTTACAGATCTGACTTATTTGTATACATACTGTTGGTCCTTCTCAGGCTGATGCACTTCAACTTTGATGAAAAACCCCAATTAGTCAACTCTTATGACATGCTTGCTGAGAAGCAGTGGGTCTGTTCTTATTTTCCTAACAATGGGGCCCCAGATCACGCTCAGGGAGCCATGTGGTACTAAATCCTCAGGATCAAGATGCCCCTGTCTACAAAAGCCTCAAAATTGGGAAATTCAGGCAAAAAGACAGAAAATCATAAAACTACGGAAGATTGAAATAATGATACAAATGTGCAAGATAAAGCAATAAAAGGCAGCACCTGTATAGCATCAACTTACTTAATCTGCACTTCCTCTCCGCTGGCTTCCTCGTAAAATATGAGTTGGTCAACAAGCTGCATGACCTCTTCTTCCTTTTTTCCCCTGGAATATGAACAAATAACGTTTATACTACAGTAACCCATGGTTACAAAACACAACCAGTATTCCTATGTGGGTAATGGTCATCATCAGGTGCCTTGCCGACTGGTGTGGGCGATCATACCTCTCCACAATCTGCCATCTCCTGCAGCATGTATTAGTTTATGTGCTAACACACCTCCATGTCATGCAACAAGACTGTCAAGAATCTTCTCTCAATGTCTTCCTCTATCCCTCTTGCCACAGACCTTTCCAGTGGCCACAACATGTTCCATTTTTCCTCTTCTCTTAACATGGCCGAAAAATTATTACTGCCTCCTTCTGATGTCTGTGATAAGTTGTCTTCGGGCTCCCGCCTCTTTCAAAAGCTCTTGGTTGCTCTTTTTGGCTGTCCAAGGTATTTTAAGCATTCTTCTGTAAAACCACATCTCTGAGGCTTCAAGAAATTGTTTGGCCTGCCTACTGATTGTCCAGGATTCACAGACATAAGTCAAAACTGGATGTATGTAGGGTAATGGTACTAAAGTATAACTTAACCTGGATCTGGGCCCTTTAACAAAACTCAGATACAAGGCCTTGTTTTCATGCTATCATGACAAACTGAGAATATTGCTACTGGTCCATTTTTTTAAAAAAAGAACAATTTAAAAAAAAAAAATTCTTTAATATATAGTGCCATACATTACTCTGATAGATAAATGGGTGATATGGCCAGACCAAGCAATGTTCTGCAAAGGACCCACTACATGATGATGAGGTAATATTTTTTAATTGCTTTTGTAATTTTTTTGCTGACAGCTTTTGTCCTTTTTTTAAAAAATAAATTTCTATACACAAGCCATTTTCACTTTTTAGTGATTAACTACTTCTAAAAGATTCCACTTTGTTTCAAACAAAACTATACCATCGGTGAATCTTATGTAGTTTATTGATTTTAAAATGTTGTTGTGTCCTGGTCTTCACTGATTTTATTCTTTTATCAATAGTGAACAGCGAAGGAGATCACACATACCAAACAGCTAGGAAAAGGACACTTTTCACACCAGTGGCCCATCAGGCATATGATGCTAGACTTGTATTTGTATAGATTCATCACTACTTAATGAATGTGATCAACATCATGATAGTCACCTTTACTTCCCAGGGCATTGCTTGGTACCCCTTTTAGGCTAGGTCAAGCTGGAAGCCAGTCAATGAGAAAAAAAAATTTGCTCTGGTGTGGATTTAAACCTAAGACCTTTCGGGCAAGCAATCAAGTATCTAGTCACTCTGCTGCTGAGGTTCCTCGAGCAGGTATGGGGGGTAATAAATATATACTAGATCAAGGCTGCAACATTTTACAGATCCCTTCTTTCATGTTTCATTCTTTCCCAACATCTACAGTTAGGTGATGATATGGAGGCAATCACAGCAATTATGGCATTCCAGTAAGTTCTCTGTCCCCATCTTCAGCATTAAAGATGCCAGCTGCAGTCTATATACATCAATCAGGGCATCCTGATCCCTATCTTCAGCAGCCAGCACCAATGGTGATAGCTGCAGCCTATTTTCAGCATTCAGGGCATCATGATCAGCGCTCTGACACCCCCCTCCCACCCCTTTGCCCCTCCGCCAGCAATCAGCAGCACCAATGGTGATAGCTGCAGCCTATTTACAGCACTCAGGGCATCCTAATCAGTGCTTTGGACCCCCCCCCCCCTTGCCCACCCCATTCCCAGCAGCATCAATAGTATCAGCTGCAGCCTATATACAGCACTCAGGGCATCATGATAAGTGTTCTGTCCTTATCGTCAGCAGCCAGCAGCAATGGTGCTAGTTGCCATCTGATTACATACAGCACTCAGGAGTTTACAGTATCAGTGGCAGACTTTTAGTACTTAGTTTCAGTGCTGAAGATATATCCTGCCTTCATTCATCTCTAGGACGGGCCTTCACTTTCCAGCTGGTGACTTCAAGTGTTTGTAAGTATATTATCTCATCACTGCTTTCTTGGTTTGCCTGTGATCTACTCCCATTCAACTCTTTTGCAGTTGTTTTTTCCATTAATTTTAAATTCTTTCATATGCGCCAATCAATCTACCTGATGCTGGTGATTAGTGGTGATTAAAACTGATTATGAATTTCTATGCTTCTGATCACTCTCTATTCTCTATCTGCGTCTTTGTTTGGCTTAAATATTTGTCATATGACTCTGTTCTCAAAAGTCTGTAATGAGGCTTTATCTCTTTTAGCTGTACTCCAGGTTTCAGAGCCATAAGCCACACTTGGTCTAATCAGTGAGTTATATATTGAGATTATGCTGTCTGGAGATAGAGCATCTGACTTTATGCAAAGATCAGCTTTACAAAATTAGTTACAAATGCTTTTTTTTAATATTTGTTATTTTATTACAAAGGACACTGCGGTAACATGCCTTTACGGGAAAACAAAAACAAAAAAGACAAAACACAACTACACAACACAAAGACAGAAATCTTCTTCTTCTTGTTCATCGGTTGTGAATTCTGGCAGAATGTCTTGGTTGTGGGTCCATTTTGACTTCTGGCTTTGTACTACGACCTCAGTTTTGTATGTATATCCGTTTTACTGTGTTCACTGCCTCTCGGGCAGATGTGCTCCGACTTTGAAGAAAGATGTTGATCCTATCTCTATTCATTGTTTCAAGGGACATGATGTTTCCTCAATTGTGTGGTATCCTCTTTGTATCTTTATCTACAGATTTTGCCCCCCCCCGGAGAACTCCTTTAGTGCAACCAGGTATAGACTGGACAGCCTTGAAGGAAAGGCAGGGACAGATCATGGGTATTCCCCACCATCCAAGGAGGCTTCCATAAATGCAGAGCCAACATATGACGCTCTGGTTCTGAACTAACCCAATGAATCGTCACGTCCTGCACAAGTCTGCTTAATCTCACAACTCTATGATCAGCTGTCCACACATACAGGCTGCGCCCTCCAGAGATCAGCAGGGAGTGGCCCATAGGTCCAAGACTCTGATGACCACACAAATAGGTACATTCTTCTTAATCGCGTTAGACACCTTTAACGCTGGTTCAATAGTGAGCATAGCACTGCAGTATGGAGAGGCATGGCTTCACCTATTTTCCAAAACTCTGGCAAGTGGGCCAATTGATACAGGTATTTGAACCTTTCAGCCAATCAGAAGGATTTATGGTTAAAAAGCGTTGAGATTTTGCAGGTGTGCCATAGGATGTACCTTTGTCGGACATTTGAGCCTAACCAGCAGGCCGATAGTGGCTGTCGTGGTGTACCCCGAGGCAGTGATGACAATATTGAGGACCGACAGGATGTATTTAGACAAGATTTTACCGCAAGAAACTGTCCACAGGAGGTGTTACTCGTCTAAGTTACGGGCAAATCTCTTGGTCTCAGCAGTTCAGTATTTTCTTTCACTTTTAACCAAGAGTTGTCATTTAGTGGTACATTCAGCAAGCAGACTTTACTCATGTTCCAAATGAGTTTCGATAGACGTTTTCACCCATACTTTTGGGGGTGAGCTGATGTTAGTCCGGCTGGACACTACATCTCTGGGAGCCACCAGCTCCGAGATCCACTGTCAGCTCTGTTAATGCTCATTTGAGACATTATTCATGGTGCACGTTGGCGATGTGCAGCAGGAGTCTTGCATGAGGATCTGTAAAACCAGCACAGAGAAGGCTGGCACCCTAGGGGAGGTACTGAGTAGCTCCTTATACACATCACATCGGACTTAACTTTCCCTCAAGCCTGTGACCAAAAATCACCGCCCCTCAAAGACAGATGAACTCTGAAGTGGCTACATTAAAAGAAAAATGTGTGCCATCTCCATCATGAAGGTTGCCTGCAGTGTACCACTGTTGTTTTGGGGAATATTACTTAGTGAGGTCCCAATCTCTTCCACTGTGCAACTCTCGTACCACAGTTTGAAAACCACAAAAATGTTTCTTTTTTTAAATAAGCAGTTCACCACAGCAATCAAAGTATAGAACTCGAGGAAAATGAAACTGGTATGTGCACTGGCTACCTATGAACTACATTTCTTATTGTTGGCTGCTGATGAAGGCTTACTGTCAAAAAATTGTGTGGGTGCTGTATGAAGAATGGCTGGCCGAACAGCTAGAACATGGGGCCCTCAAGCAGGAGACCCGAGTTCAAAGTTGGTGGCAACAATAAAATCCTAACCTGCAGTCCGTGGTGACAGCGATAGCCACGCAGCCCTAAATTCTCCACTTTACACTCCCTGCCTACACCGCACAACTGGTGAATACAGGCAGCAACGGCAATTTTATTTTTTTATTGAAACTAAGTAATATCAACGTATCCTATCAGTTTTCTGGTTCACTGCTTGAACATAGTTAAACCCCTTTCATTTCTGCAACAATACATTCAGCATTACAGTAAAAGGAACCAAACATGTAAAATAAAAAAAATAAAGGACCCTTTACATGCCAGTGGCGCTTCGGGCATATGATGCTGGACTCATATTTTTTATTAACCACCTTTACTTTCTAGGACATTTCTCGCAGCCATTTTAGGCACGGTCAACCTGGAAGCCAAGGCCAAAATTTTTTTTCCTATTTCCGATTCCTGTGGATTAAATCCTAGATATTTGAGTCAGTAGGGAGTGTCTAGTTATTTGGCTTCACTCCTTCCAAACCAAAATCTGACAACAACAAAGCCTAACATTTTGTTACAAACTAGCACTCACTCCCCCTGAAGTTCTTCAGGAATATGTGACTGCAAAACTTTCTTGTACCTCTGTTTTCTCTCTGTTGCCACATCCCTGTACATGGAACGATAAAGAACATTTTCTGACATATCCAAATATTAGCAGTGCCTTTCACAGCTATGTCTTTCCCAGGTAATTCACTTAGTACTGAGATTACAGTTAATAACATAAACCAGACACTTCTCAGCATAAAGTACACATGTATAATGCTCCCCAGTGGTTCTCAAACAGTGGAGATCAATGGGTAGCAGAAACATTCAAAGGCAGCAAGGATATTCTTCATCTTCTGCATTAGGACTTAAAAGGGCGGATGGCCATGTTGTGGTTTACAGCTAAGCTACAATCACTGCACTTTTTCGGCTCAAACCATTCAACTTCAGCAAACCTCCAATTAGTAACATTTTTCTGACATGCCTATCTCGGGGAGGAAAGAAGGGGGGGGGGGGGGGGGGGCACAAACTGAGTCTATTCTTTTTTTCCCCAGCAAAATTGACGTCCTGGAACCAAAATGGGGAGTAAAGGATATTGAGAGCCCTATATGAACAGAACAATGACCAACTGAGCTGGGTCACATGTTCAGGGCTGGAAAACTGGTTTAAAAAACAATATATATATATTTTTAACATCTATTTGTGTCTGTCCTTTTTCTACCAAAGAAACACAGGCCCTCAGCAAATACCACCATGGCAAGTTATCCTAAATATTGAAAATCATGTGCAGCTCTCCCCGTGTGTGAAATGTAAGATGGGCCTGGGTGCCCAATTTGTGACCCTTTGAAAATAAATTTTGTTCGTTCATTTGTTTATTTGTTTGTGCTTCTGGGCTGAATTTAGGAGAACAAAGAATAGACCCACTGCCACCTCCCCCAACTAGCATGTTGTAGGAGGTATCTAATTAAAGGTGTTTTCTGCAAAGTAAAAGTTGCATCTGCTTGAGAGACAAGGAACTAACAGTCTGCATATAATAAGCCAGATATGTAAAATGGGCGTGCTGACAAAACACATGTTCTGGATCAAGATGAAAGTCTAGGAGTGGATGAACAACCAGAATTTTCTGTTAGAACTGACAGCCTGTGAATGCTAAGAAAAAGAAGTACAGATCATCTCATGTCCTCATGTTTTATTTCATTCTCAATTCTCTCTCTCTCTCTCTTTAATTTTTGGGCCATTGTCTGTGTGTTTTGTTTTTGAATGCTTTCATTAATATGGGTAAATATTTTCACCTGTATTAAGAATATTGTTTACCTTTTCCACTTATTCTTCTTTCATTCTGAGTTTTTTTTTTTTTATCTGACTTGTTTATAGTTGGTTGGTTTTTGTGGCTACAAGGTTTTACAGGATCAGATAGCCAACCCTACTCTTAGTTGCCTCTTATGACACTCTGCAGTATGCAGTGTTGTTATTCTTTACTTCGACTAATGACCTCAGTAACAAAAAATGATTTCAACACTATGAATTTTTAATGGTACTGTGCTCCTATAAATACAATTATGTGATGTGATACAAGCCAATTTTCATTCTGAAAGTGCACCCCAGATAAAACAGTTTCAGAATCACTGTTATGATATAAAAAAGTATTCAATCTGGCAACAGATGTTCTACCTAACACATGTGCTTCTCAGCCGCATAAAACAATGATACCAGGCAACTTGCATCAATATATTTTATTACCTTAAGATGCGCACAGGTAAAGCCTAAGGCTGTTTGTGCCCTAGATAAGATATTTGTATACTAAAGTATTGGTTCATAGAATAACACTTTACAGAGCCAGGTCTTGGTCAGATGATTGAGCTACTGTGTAACAGTAGTTGATACATTGTTCTATGTTAATGCTGATAGTGGGAGGCCTGACTGTGCCAATGGCTTTGGGTGGAAGTGCATTGTACAGGATACTAGCCTTCTCACAGGATGAGGAAATGCAACCTTCAGAAGTGTTTTACGCCAGGGCACTAGTTCCTTACCCTTGGCCAGCAGTTGGTCTAGGAGTGTGGCTCTGAAAGATAGACAGAGACGTGCTCTGATCTGGCAGCTTCTACTGCATTTTTTGTTCCAAACGTACTAGTATTAGCTTTCCTATGTAGGACTGAAAGCAAGCCGAGGTGGGGGTGAGGAGGGGAGGGGTGGGGGGGGGGGGGGGCAGGAGGAGATCATGCTGCAAGGGCAGTAGATTGTCTCTACAATAATGTCAAGGCTTTGTGCTATGGAGAGGAGCAGCTTCGTCCATGAAAAAGTAAAAAGTAAAGGACCCTTTTCCATGCCTTTAGGCATTGGGCATATAGGGCTAGACTATATTTTTTAGACCAATCAGCACTTGATGGGTTACGTGGTCAGCATCGCGTTTGCCGCCTTTACTTCCCAGAACTGTATCTCTTCATCCCTGGCCTTACTGTTATAGCTAACTGAACTAACAACTGAGACAGCATGGACCTTAACTAAGAACTGAGATAGAAGGAGTTGAAGTAACAAAGGAAATAGAGGGAGCTGAACTAACAAATGAGATAGAATGAGTTGAACTAATAACTGGGACATCAAGGAGATGAACTAACAACTGAGATATAAGGAAAACTAATTAGTGAGACAGCGCAAGATGAATAACAATAGAGAAAAAAGGAACTGAACTAACGAATGGACAGCAGGAGTTGAAGTGAAAAAGAAGGAGATGAATGACTAAGTGAGACAGCAAGGAGATGAACTAATAACTGAGGAGTTTAATTAACAGCTGAGGCCAACAAGTGAGAAGCAGTTGAACCAAAAACTGAGATGGCAGGGAGCATTGAGACAGAAGGCATTGAAGTTACCAAGGCAGAGGGTTTTGAACCAACAACTGAGACAGAGGGAGCTGAGAAAGAAGGAGTCAAACTAACAGAGAGAGAGAGAGAACTAGTCAAACTAACAAAGAGGGATAGAAGGCATTTAACTAACAACTGAGACAGAGGATTCAAACTAACAAAGAGAGGTAGAAGGAATTCAACTAAAAAAGAGAGAGAAGTAGTTGAAATAACAACTGAAACAGCATGAGCTGACCTAGATGTCAGATAGAAGAAATTGAATTACCAAGTGAGAAACAAGGAGATGAACTAACAATTGAGATAAACGGAGTTGAACTAACAAAGAGAGATAGAAGGAGTTGAATTCAGAACTTAAACTGAGACAGAAGGAGTTTAATTAACAACTGAAACTAACAAATGAGAAGGAGCTGAATTAACTAAGACATCAGGAGCTGAACCAACAACTGGGATGGCAGGGAAGTGAACTAACAACTGAGACAGAAGGAGATGAACTAATAACTGAAATAAATGAGATTAACTAACAACTGAGATAGAAGGAGAATTAACAATTGAGACAGTGTGAGATGAATAACAACTGAGAAATAAGGAGCTAAACTAACAACTTGGACAGCCGTAGATGAACAAATGCATATTATTGAGTAGGTTCAAGAAATAAGCACTGGGGACGTCAAGCTAAATTTATCACACTACACTCTGAATCGCTTAAAGAAAGCAATAAAAATAAAGTCAACCTTAAGCTTGTTAAGGTTTAAAATCTTATCTATATGAGAACTGCATTATACGTTAAGACAAATGAGAATAGACTTATCCTGAACATGTCATGGCAAATCAAGAAACTAGGATATTTAGAACAGACCCATAAGAAAAAAAACCTTTGTTTATGGCTGTGTAGTTCTTGTCACTGGTGTGTTTGTAAGGACAATTAAGTAAAGCAAAAGCATAATAACAATGTATAACCAACAAAGTATTCTGAGGGAAGTAATCAAAATCTTCATCTCTGACACAGGTGAATTAGGCAGAATTTCACATTTTATTCATTGCTGGAATTAGCTGGATTTTTATTCTTAAGACTTTTTAACCCTTTCGGGCACCAAGCATTGGCATTTCCAAAGATATACGAGTACATAACAATGATTTTGCTTTTTTTTTTAAAATAGAGGTTAAATTAGCCCTTTGTATCAGAATTATTAGTTTAACCTCTTCTATCCCATAGTGTCTGCCTGTCAGAGCTTCCCTCCTAGACCAGCTGCCAGCTCAGGTTAAGGGCCTAGTCTGCCCTGCCATAAGTTTTCAGGTTGCATTTCCCCCTCCTCTGATAAGGCTAGTATCCTCCCCAGTGCACTCCTCCGCTCACCCTGGAATAATTTGTGCCTAATATGCCAATAAAGTTTTCAGTGTTTCATATCCTGCAGTGACTACATTTTACTGCCCCACCAAAGCTGTCATGGCATCCAACCATCTTCACAAAATGGGTAGCAGAGATCTCCTGAGAGAAAATCTATGGCTAATGTGACACTGACCCAAAAAAAAATGCCTTGTTTTCTAGCAAGTGCCATCTCCACAATTAAGGTTAGCTTCAGGTAGGCAACCATCAGTCTCTGGGAGCTGTGGAGTTGTGCTGCTGGTTTTGGGAACAGCCTTTGTATGACTGTAAAGTCCAGTGCGGAAGTGACAGTCTCTGCCCCATTATCCACATAGTTAAGTTAAGTTGATTCAAGAACGGACATCACAGCACTCGAGGCATTCTCATAAGCGCTCTGTCCCTATCTTCAGCAGCCAGTGAAGAGTTCCAATACTAATGGTGCCAGTAGCATTTTAATTAAACATCTGTCTTGCCTTTCCTCTGAGCCTCGAGCATCTGCGAGAACCTCTCGTCACTCCTCCCTGCATCAATCTCACCAGACTGCGGTGATCCATCTGCTGTACACCCTCTCTCACAAGGCACTAATCACGTCTGACTTATCATGTATCAGTATTCCACCAAGTTGTGCAGAGCCAGCCAGTCTGTTCGCCTGTTCAACACACCGGCGTCCACACCTATCCACATACAAATATTGATACTCTATAATTTTGAGGCTAGTTTTCTCTGAAATCTGTCCTCTCTATAGCTTGCTGCATTTGGTTTCTTCAGATTGTGCCAGTTGTCTTTCACTGTCTGGTTGCAAAGGAGTAAATCTGCAGCTCTAAATCATTGTTGATATCTTTCATGTGCATATGTTGCAATGAGTACCAACACCTTTGTTTTAACAAAAGCCCTGCTTGTACC